GGGGGGGTCCTCCTTCCACTCCCCCCCTCCCTTTCCCGGTCACCCCCGGTAACCCCCTCCCGGGGATGGGCGGTACTCACGGCTCCGGCGCAGCGACGGGCCCAGCCCGGCGGGATGCTGCGGGTTCTCCGCTATCTCCGCACCGCTACCGCCGGCCCCGCGGCGGGGAGACGGGGGGAGACGGGGCGGGCCGGGGGCGGGCGGCTGCGGGGCTCCTCCTCGGGCGGCGGCGGGACGGGGCTGCGGCTTCCTCCCTCCTTCCCTCCCTCCTTCACCCGGAATAACCCCTCGGCGGAGCTGCCACCGACACAGCACAGGGCTCCGCTGTGTTCCCCCCCCTCCCTTCCCCGCCGTTAATACCGGGCTGCGGGGGAAGGGGCGCTCGCTCCGCCCTTACCGGGCCCTGCGTGTGTGTGTGTGTGTGAGAGGAGATCACACACACACACGGGAGGGGGGACACCGATGGGACACACACGTGTGGCACCGACAGCGGCCCGGCCGCCGGTACCGGGGGGAACCGGGGCGGGAGGATGGGGGGGGGGAACGAGAGTCGGGGGCGTGGCCTCCCCTCCAAGCCCCGCCCCCCCGCGCGCCGCGCTGCATGCCGGGAGCGGAAGCGGCGGCCGCGCTGAGGCGAGGAAGGCAGCATGGCCCCCACCGGCAAGAGGTGAGCGGCGGCGGAGGGTGGTTGGGAGCGGGATGGCGGCGGGAAGGGGCTGAGGCGCCGCCGGGGAAGCCCTCGGGGTGCCGCCGGCTCGGTTGCGGCTTGTCGGTCCCCGCACTGCCGGCCCTACGGCCGCCGTGAGCGGGTAGGCCTCGGCTCCCCGCTGAGCGCCCACCGTCTCTCCTCCTCGCCCCCAGGAGCCTGGCGGAGCTGAGCGTGGATGAGTTCCTCGCTGCCGGGTCCGAGTCGGAGGGTGATGGCGGTTGGGAGGAGGAGGAGGAGGAGGTGACCAGGCCCGCCAAGGGTCCGGCACAGCGGCGGCCGAGCGGGAAGGCGCAGCAGAATGGGAAGGCCAAGCAGCAGGTCCAGGCCCCGCCGGCTGGGAGGTAAGAGCGAGCCGCTGGGGATGGGAAGAGCTGGTTCTGGGACCAGCCGGGTCACAGCTGCCTAAAAGGGAACCTAAAAGGTTCAGGACCGTAGAGTGGTTACAAAGTACAGGGCAGTCAGGTTTTCGGTTGTATTAATGTTAATCCAGGAGCTGCAGTGGAAGAAAGCTTATGGACGCTTTTAATTGTTTACAGGTTATATTGGAGTCAGAAAAAGCTCACTTTGGTTTTCCTCAGTTTGTGTGTATTTGCTCCTACTGAAAGAGACTGCAGTACCTGCAGAAATCCTAAAATTGTGGAATGGTTAGAGTTGGAAGGGACCTTAAAGACCATCCAGCTCCAACCCCCCTGCCCTGGGCAGGGACACCTCCCACCAGCCCAGGTTGCTCCAAGCCCCATCCAGCCTGGCCTTGAACCCCTCCAGGGATGGGGCAGCCACAGCTTCTCTGGCCAACCTGTTCCAGTGCCTCACCACCCTCACAGCAAAGAATTTCTCTCTGGTATCTCATCTAAATCTCCCCTCTTCCAATTTAAAACCATTACCCCTTGTCCTGTCACTGCACTTCTGACAAAGAGTCCCTCCCCAGCTCTCCTGTAGCCCCTTCAGATATTAGAAGGCTGCTATAAGAAAGAAAATGAAGTAGTTCTTAGCTACTACTGATCATTATTAGAAGCCAAAACAATTCTTTAGTTCCGCTTTAAGGTCTCTGTAAGAAAGAAAATGAAATAGTTCTTAGCTACTACTTATTGTTATTAGAAGCCAAAACAATTCTTTAGTTCCAGATAAGAGCTTTCATTATCAGATTTCTTGGGCAGTATTTTAGTGTTCTTTATAAAAGGCCTGCAAGTATCCAAGAGGTCAGGCTGTTTGTCTTAATGAGCTTTCATTGTCAGATTTCTTGGGCAATATTTTGGTGTTCTTTATAAAAGTCCTGCAAGTATCCAAGAGGTCAGGCTGTTTGATTGTTACCCAGAGTTTGGAGTTTGAGTTCTACCAACATCTTCTGAACCTGCTTTGGCAGGGGGGGCTGGACTAAATCATCTCCAAAGGTCCTTTCTGACCAGTACAATTCTGCAATTACTAACTTTAAAAAATTCTTTTTGATTTTGTGAGATGTTTTCATGACCTCTGGTCAGTATACAATGTGATAGTTTGTCAGGATTTTTTAGTGCTGAATAAAAATAACCTTTTGTAAGTCCTCTAGAACACCAGGTGTTAAACGGGATAATTAACTGTGGCCACAGCCCTGATAAATCCATCACCATTCAGATTAGCCCCAGGTGTGCTTTAGTGCCTAGAAGTTGCTTGATTTTCTTACAGCACCAGCAGAAGTTTGAGTGATGAATAAATGCATGTTAATTCTTGTCTATCAGGAAGAAGGGAAAGGCATCTGAACATAAAGATCAGCTCTCCCGGCTGAAGGACAAAGATCCTGAATTTTATAAGTTTTTGGAGGAAAATGATCGCAAGTTGCTGGATTTTGATGCTTCAGACAGTTCTGATGAAGAGGAGGCATTGCACGTACCACCTGATACACTGGAGGTACTGGGCCCTATTTTGGAGTGCTGAAATCAATGTTTTTCATTATTTACCTGTTAAGTATTTGATTTTCAGTGCAAGGCTTTTAGTGGCACAGAAGATTGGGGAGGAGCTTCCCCAAAGATCGCCTGCAGGTGTACGGGCTTGTAATCTAGAAACCAGCTGTGCGTTTGGACTGAGCATGAGGAGTTTGTTCAAGATTGTGAAAGCAGAGCCTTAGAGTATATTTTCTCTGTGGTTTTGTGTCTCTTTTCCCAATGAGAGTTCGTTTTGCCTCAAGTCATATGCTTTCTCCTTGATGTTTTACATTATTGCACATTGTATTTATGTAACAAAGCTGCAGGGCTTACCTAGCTTTTTTTTTTCTAATTTGTAATACTCATAATTTAATGCTGTTATCAGCACTTTGTGCAAAGCTGCCGGCCCTACGGCCGCCGTGAGCGGGTAGGCCTCGGCTCCCCGCTGAGCGCCCACCGTCTCTCCTCCTCGCCCCCAGGAGCCTGGCGGAGCTGAGCGTGGATGAGTTCCTCGCTGCCGGGTCCGAGTCGGAGGGTGATGGCGGTTGGGAGGAGGAGGAGGAGGAGGTGACCAGGCCCGCCAAGGGTCCGGCACAGCGGCGGCCGAGCGGGAAGGCGCAGCAGAATGGGAAGGCCAAGCAGCAGGTCCAGGCCCCGCCGGCTGGGAGGTAAGAGCGAGCCGCTGGGGATGGGAAGAGCTGGTTCTGGGACCAGCCGGGTCACAGCTGCCTAAAAGGGAACCTAAAAGGTTCAGGACCGTAGAGTGGTTACAAAGTACAGGGCAGTCAGGTTTTCGGTTGTATTAATGTTAATCCAGGAGCTGCAGTGGAAGAAAGCTTATGGACGCTTTTAATTGTTTACAGGTTATATTGGAGTCAGAAAAAGCTCACTTTGGTTTTCCTCAGTTTGTGTGTATTTGCTCCTACTGAAAGAGACTGCAGTACCTGCAGAAATCCTAAAATTGTGGAATGGTTAGAGTTGGAAGGGACCTTAAAGACCATCCAGCTCCAACCCCCCTGCCCTGGGCAGGGACACCTCCCACCAGCCCAGGTTGCTCCAAGCCCCATCCAGCCTGGCCTTGAACCCCTCCAGGGATGGGGCAGCCACAGCTTCTCTGGCCAACCTGTTCCAGTGCCTCACCACCCTCACAGCAAAGAATTTCTCTCTGGTATCTCATCTAAATCTCCCCTCTTCCAATTTAAAACCATTACCCCTTGTCCTGTCACTGCACTTCTGACAAAGAGTCCCTCCCCAGCTCTCCTGTAGCCCCTTCAGATATTGGAAGGAGCTTTAAGGTCTCTGTAAGAAAGAAAATGAAATAGTTCTTAGCTACTACTTATTGTTATTAGAAGCCAAAACAATTCTTTAGTTCCAGATAAGATCTTAATGAGCTTTCATTGTCAGATTTCTTGGGCAATATTTTGGTGTTCTTTATAAAAGTCCTGCAAGTATCCAAGAGGTCAGGCTGTTTGATTGTTACCCAGAGTTTGGAGTTTGAGTTCTACCAACATCTTCTGAACCTGCTTTGGCAGGGGGGGCTGGACTAAATCATCTCCAAAGGTCCTTTCTGACCAGTACAATTCTGCAATTACTAACTTTAAAAAATTCTTTTTGATTGTGTGAGATGTTTTCATGACCTCTGGTCAGTATACAATGTGATAGTTTGTCAGGATTTTTTAGTGCTGAATAAAAATAACCTTTTGTAAGTCCTCTAGAACACCAGGTGTTAAACGGGATAATTAACTGTGGCCACAGCCCTGATAAATCCATCACCATTCAGATTAGCCCCAGGTGTGCTTTAGTGCCTAGAAGTTGCTTGATTTTCTTACAGCACCAGCAGAAGTTTGAGTGATGAATAAATGCATGTTAATTCTTGTCTATCAGGAAGAAGGGAAAGGCATCTGAACATAAAGATCAGCTCTCCCGGCTGAAGGACAAAGATCCTGAATTTTATAAGTTTTTGGAGGAAAATGATCGCAAGTTGCTGGATTTTGATGCTTCAGACAGTTCTGATGAAGAGGAGGCATTGCACGTACCACCTGATACACTGGAGGTACTGGGCCCTATTTTGGAGTGCTGAAATCAATGTTTTTCATTATTTACCTGTTAAGTATTTGATTTTCAGTGCAAGGCTTTTAGTGGCACAGAAGATTGGGGAGGAGCTTCCCCAAAGATCGCCTGCAGGTGTACGGGCTTGTAATCTAGAAACCAGCTGTGCGTTTGGACTGAGCATGAGGAGTTTGTTCAAGATTGTGAAAGCAGAGCCTTAGAGTATATTTTCTCTGTGGTTTTGTGTCTCTTTTCCCAATGAGAGTTCGTTTTGCCTCAAGTCATATGCTTTCTCCTTGATGTTTTACATTATTGCACATTGTATTTATGTAACAAAGCTGCAGGGCTTACCTAGCTTTTTTTTTTCTAATTTGTAATACTCATAATTTAATGCTGTTATCAGCACTTTGTGCAAAGCAGTAATAAAATTCACTGCTGCCTGCCTTTCCTCTTCAGTAGCTGCTCAGCAAAAGAGGTAGGGCAGGAAAAGAAGCGTGTAAGCCTTTTCTCAGTCCTGGTCTTGACTTCTCTAGGAAGCAAGTGATGAAGATGAAGACGAAGAAGAACATGAAACGGTCAAACGGAAGAAAGTTTGTTTGATCCCTGTGAGATTGAAAATGGTTGAAGAATGGAAGAAAGCTGCAGAGGTGAGCAGGGAGTTGGAATATGAGGCACTTAAGTGTTCTCCTTTAAAGATTATTCTCTGTTGCTGTCTTTAAAAGATGCAACTTCAGATTTGTTCATCTTTTACAAAAAATCTGCAGAGGTGGTGTGTGTCCTGCATGCTCTTGTTACTTCAGCAATTTTTGCTGGGCTGCGAGATTAGAGTTACTTGTACTCTGAGGGAGAAGCTTGAGAAACCTGTGGCTCAGAAGGGGTCAGAATGGTTAACTTCTGATTTTTCATCCTCCTCCTAAACATTGTGCTTTTGGGAGCTCCAAGAACTTTTTTTAGTCACATTTTGGTGATGAAATGACTTGCTGCTGGTGACTAAGAGGGGGAGGGAAAGGTCAAATTGGATAATTGCTTGCAGCTGACTCACTGCTTCTCAACCCCCGACCAATTAAAAGCCCTTGAAGCCTGTTTGAGAGCAAGTGAAGGCCACTAGTGTTTGTTAGTACTTTCTTGACATTTTTCCTTTGTGTTAGAGGATGGAGCTATTTTTGCAGCCAGACTTTCAATGAATTCCAACACTCCTGTCCCAGTAGAGTGCTGCAGAGTTTCAGAATATTCCTTGCTTTTTGTCCTCAGCAATCCCTTTTTTTCTTTTCTTTCCCCAGAGAAATCTAACACCAAAACTTTTCCATGAAATCACTCAAGCCTTTAAAGCAGCTGTAGCAACCACCAAAGGAGATAATGGTGGGGCTGATCCCAGCAAGTTTCAAGTCACTGATGCCACAGGTGAGTTGGTCACCGTTATACTTCTGTGAGAGAAGGTTTTTTGGTAGGGAAGGTTTAGCTATTGGAAGAGAGCGGGGATAAGTACTGGTAGGAGTGTTTAACTTACCCTTTCTTAGGCTTCATTTCACTTAAGTAGCTTATCTTCTTGCTGGTGGTGAGTCTGTGCAGTGGTATCTCCTCTGGTGTCCCAGTCTGTAAGTGCACCTCTCTTGTGTGCCTGGAGCTTGCAGGCTGCTGAGGAAAGCATCATGCTTCATTCCCCAGAATACTTAGAGTGAAGCTGAAGCAAGGTACTGTTTATATATTTGTAGGGCACAGGTTTTTTGGACAATTTTTGCTGCGGCTTCTTGCTGATCCCTCTTAGAACTAATCCTACAAGTCTTCTTACCAAATAGTGTTCTATAACCTCACAGCAGTTCAGAGCTCAGTTGCACCAGCCAGTTCACGTTCCCCTGGCCAGGAGTGCTCAAAATACTGCATGTCTGGATCTCCTTCTCTGCAGGATTATCATGCCTGTAGAAAAATGAGATGCAGCCTCTCTCTCTAGCGTGACCCGCTTTTGCACAAGCTCCAGATTTTGTAGACAGTCCTGTTTTAGACTTGAGACAGTGCGGCTGAGAGCGAGCATCTTTGCTAGTGTCTCTGAGGATGTGACCTGCAGCCCACCTACTTCTCCCACTAAATTACCACTTTCTCACTGTGTTTTATCAGCTTGTTACTGTGTGCCATCTGGAACTGGCATGCTGGGGTGGGACTGCTTAAACCCACATGTTCTCCTTAATCCTTTCTTTCCCAGCGTAGGGCTTTTTATATCTTTCATAGCTTTGGGTAAAATCTCATTCTTTAATTTAAGACATCACGTAGGATTTGCGTGTCCATTTCTGTGACTTTTTTTAATTAAAAAGTGCCTCTAATTCTTATTATGGTTGAGAGCGATTGATGATAGACTCCTAAGTTGTGGATCAGACTGCTTTTGTGCTTGGTGGTGTTTATTCAGAGTAAAGAGGGAGGTGGCCTCTGTGCCAGAAACCTGTCAGTTGTAATCTTGCTGTTTAGATGAAAAATTCTAGGGTAAGACAAACTGATGTTTTCCGGAAGCTTCTGCAAATGCAGTAGTTCTGCTATGGGAATTACTGGCTTCAGTTCCTTTGGTAAGCTCTTTTCAGATTAGCTGAGAACCCAGGTATATATGGAAAATGACTTACAAATGTTTCACTGACTTCTTTTTAACCAGTATTCAATGCCCTTGTGTCCTTCTGCGTCCGGGACCTCTTCCACTGCCTGCAGAAGCTGCTTCTTCTGAAACCCCCAAAGAACAAACTAAAGTAAGTCTGAGGGGACTTGAGAACTGCAGGTGGGAGAAAGCTGGTTGGGGTTTTTCAGAACTGCATCCTGGTTATGAAGCTAGAAAAAGCTCTTTCCAAACACTGGCAAAGTTGCCTGATGATATTCACAGTTGTGTTAACCTGGTTCTTCCTTTCTTCCCCAGAAGTGCATCCTCTGTAAAAGTAGGGGCCAACTAAACTCTAGATTCCTTTTTGACTGTGATGCCTGGTCTGAGAAGTAAATTCCAGTTCTTTGTGTAAACACCAACCTCTTTTCTTCCCAGGTCTGACTTGTGCAGACAGATAGTTTGATCTCTCACAGCTCCCTGCATCACACTTCCAGAGGTCTGGATACTCTCCTGGGAAGCTCGTTGAATTGAATTATCCAATACTGTTTCTCAGGCAGTCTTTACAGGGTGGAAATTCTTCTTTTCACCTATGACAAAATTGTTACTACTTTTATTTCTTGCTTTGCTACCAGTTGTCTTTACTCACTGGCAATAGCAAGGAAGTGAACAGACTATTCTTTGTGCTGCTGGGATCTAATTTATTTGGTGGGTTGTTTTTTTTAAAGGCTAAACCCAATTCTTGCTCATTTCCAGAGTGGTCCTCCCTTCCACCAGCCCGCTTTGGAGCAAGCTACGACTGGACATAAAAGTGTATCTCAGCTGTACTATACAAGTAAGAAACTTCAGCATGTTTGTGTTACTGGGGTCAGTCTGTGCATTGTTGGGCTTTTGTTCAGGGTATTTTGGAATGAGGCACTCAAAGCCTTGGGCATGAGATTGTGTTTTGAAAGTATTTGGCCAAACAATTTGGAGGTGTGTAGGATGGTTGGGTCAAAATAGGTAGCCCGTAACGAAGGGCTGTTAACATTCTGACAGTGCTTTCTGTCTTAATTTTTCTGATTAAATTAATATTTAGTGGTCTTTAAAGTGGCTTGCAGTGTTCCTGTGTTCTGCATCTTTAATGTCTGTTAAATTAATATTTAGTGGGCTTTAAAGTGGTTTGCAGTGTTCCTGTGTTCTGCATCTTTAATTCTATTTTCGGCACTATGATCTTGCTTCTTGTAGTAAATACTAAGATGTTATGTTGACAACCTCTGCTCCTCACATATGACATCTCCAAGTATGATTATGCTCCATTCCCCTAGGATTTCTCATCCATCCAAAGTAGCTGATGTCTGGTGTTCCAGAGACAATTCATAGATTATTTCTGAAGGGAAATCCTGCCCCGAGTTAATTTTTTTTTTTCTAATAAATTTTTTTCTGAAGGGAACTCCTGCCCCGGGTTAATTTTTTCTTGAGAGTGCTTCATCATGCATCCCCCAAATTGGAATATTAAAAACAACAACATCAAAATACTCATTCTTTGGAAGCTGAGGGAAGGGGATGTAAGGAAAGAAAAAGACAGTGCTGATGTCTCTCAGCTGTAAGCTGGCAGAATGACTTAGCAGAAAAAGCATTTTCATCAGTAGAGCTTTTTTTCTCAAGCGGTGGTGCCTCTCGCCAACAGCAGAGCTAAAGATTGCAGTAGAAAAGGAAAAGCTGGCAATGTTTGAAGTAATTGAAGTAATCCCTGGTCCTGTGCTTACTTCTGAGTGCCCTCAGTCCCAGGCTTCTGTTTTTCTGGCATAGTAGTTTCTGGACAATACCTGTTCAGAAACTGCATCAGGCAGAACCTCTCTCAAATTGAAGTGACTTTGAGTTTACTGTTGTCTTCAAATTAGAAACCACAAAACCTGGGTTTGCCTCCAGGTGGACTGAGCTGAAAGAGTTTACTGCTGTCTTCAAATTAAAACCACAAACATCTCTGGGTTTGCCTCCAGGTGGACTGAGCTGAACAACCTGGAAATAATAAGATATTGTTTCTTAAATAGTTTGTCTAAGTTTTTCCTTGAGCTGGAGTTAATCTCTTGATACCCAGTAGTATTCCGGCTTCCCATTAAAGAAATCTTAGTGAATTTCAGTAAGTTGTCAGATGGTCTGTTTCCAAGCCTTGTCCTCTTGATACCCAGTAGTATTCTGGTTTCCTATTAAAGAAATCCTAGTGAAATTTAGTAAGTTGTCAGATGGTCTGTTTCCAAGCCTTGTATAGACTGAGGGTGTCTTCATTATGCCATTTGTAGTGAGATGCATTAAACTGTAGGTACACTTAGCTTTTGCAGTATCCACAAAGGAAATTTTATGTGATGAGCTCAGGTGCCAGTACCCATCCAACTCCAGTAGCCTGAGCTCCCACTTGCCAGTAGGATGTGCTTTCAGGGGAGTTATTTAACCTGCCATGTGTCCACTCCTTTCCTGATACAGACTTTGGGGGTTTTTTTGAGCTTCTTCCTAGGGAAGGCTGCTCTTCCAGTTCTTTGGTAACACAGAAATACTGGGGAACAGCAAAATGCTTAATGATAAAGGAAGAAGTGATGAGGACCACGCACTAAATGGGATTGTGTTTTTTTTCGTCCATAGCTCCTGTCTTGTTTAACAGAAGCATCAGTCGGTGTAGCAGTCCTTCAACATGTCAACTCCACAGTGCCTTATTATTTGTCCTTCCCAAAGCAGTGCCGTGCACTTCTCAAGGTAAGGTGATGAGCTGTGATATGTCCTTTGGATCTGAGGTACTTTTCTTACCCCTTCACATGAGCCTCTCATGATTTTTGGGCTGGATCCAATGACAGTTCAACCTCTTGTACTCCTCTTCCCTTTTCTTTTGGTCCTGGAAAGGACTTCTGCTTCTCTTTTGGGCCCTTTAGGTGCCACGAAGTGCTGTCAGGCTGAGGAGAGTGGGCATGTGGCTCTGTGTAACTGCTGCTAATCCCCATACAAAGTGACAGGGAGGTGTTCTGGGGAAGCTGTCTGCTTCCTCATGGCAGATGGAGTAATTCCTGCCGGAGTGCTGAGTCTGGGTGTACGTCTGGGATGGCATCTCACACTCAAGAGCCTGGGGGTGGAATATTTTTGCAGAAACTTAGTCACAACTGCTGAGCACTTAAGAACAACAAAGGAGGCGGGGAAGAGTGGAAGAGGGCAGCAGGGTGACATTTAAATGAAAAGCTGCCATACAACATTTAAACTCTTTGATGATAAAGATGACTGGTGTACAGTGATGGGAGGCTGTTACACCTCATTTCTGAAGGTGTAGCAGTCTGCTTACTGCTACCGTAGGGATTTTGAGTAGGCTTTTTCAGCCTTGTAGCTGGAATCTTTCCATTTCCTCGAGTTCATTAGTGGAGATAAGGTAACTGGTTTTTGGAGGCATCAGCTGTGATTGTGGTCCTGCTGTACCAGGTGCTTCCTGACAGGGCCAGCCATGTCCAAGTGAATCTATACTCTCAACAGGGAAAAAACCAATATATGATTACTTTATGCAATGCAGCAATGGATAAAACTCAGATAAATGAGCTTGTGTCAATGGTGGGCTGAAATTAGCCCAGAGTTTTGCACAGTCTAACCTACCTCTCTCCAGTGGGTGTAGGTATTTTTGTGATGCACTGGATGCGCGTCATTGTGTCTGTCCCAGAGTGACTAAGGGTATGTCTCAGCAGAAGTGTTGCCTTACACAGGTCTTGTCTCTGGCTCTAAACCCTGCTGCTCTGGCCTTTGAATTAATGCAGTCAACATCCAGGGAACTGGAATTAAGTCAGAGCTACCACCAGGAGATGTATCTCAGGAATTACAACCTAGTTGCCCAGAGGGGAAAAAGCTTTGATAAATTCAGAAATCAAACCCTGGTGTCTCTTCTCCGGAGACAAGTGCATTTTTAATAGCATTCTTTGAGAAACTAGGATTTGGTGTTGGTGATGATAACTGGAGTGTAATTGCAGTGTAGTTGTATTCCTCAGAGTTTGGTGTAAGACAAAATTTTTTATTGGGCTGGAAGATGTATTGGCCAAATGTGTAATCTAGTGTGATGGTGCTGTCTAGGGGATGATGAGGAAGCTTTCCAAGCCTAGGAGATTGAGTCACATGCACAGGCTGCTGCCTGTGCTCAGAAGCTCAAATGCATACTTAGGCACATGAATAAAAGTGCATGTATTTTTCAGAGAGAACAGTTTTGTTTATCGATTGTGGAAATGTCAACCCTTGCCTGTTGTGCAGTCTCAGCTGGAGTATGAGGACAGAATGGCTGCCAGTGCTGTTGTGGCTGATTCTGTGACAATTCAGCCTGCCATCTTCCTCCTCGCTTGCTTTTTTGGGTGTGAAAACAGGAAGCTCAGGCCTGTCTGTAAGCAGGAGGGAGCTCTTTGTCCCTTTATTTATCTGTATCTTTTTATTTTCCATTCCAGCAAACAATTCATTTGTGGAGCACAGGTGAGGAAACAGTGAGAGTACTGGCCTTCCTTGTGCTGAACAAGATCTGCCGCTACAAGAAGGAGGTGTACCTAAGTCCCTTGCTCAAGGTAGGGCTGGTGCTTGCCATATTCTGCAGCTTTTCTTCCTCATGTTATACATGAAGACTTTAGAATGTGAACTGCAGCCTGTTAGTCAGGGCTGGTGCTGGAGATGGTGCTGGCTATGGCCAGAAAATGAAACAGGAAAGAAATTCTGTTAGGTCAGAGTGAGATCCTGCTTCCTACTACTGCCTTCCTGCTGGAGGCACCTGTCTTAGCAGAGAAGGCCTCTGTTATTCATCTGTCTGCTGGATGAATGCTCCTCTGCCAAATTCTTGTGGGATTTCCTCAAGTGCTGGCACACTCAGTGCTACTGAGCTGCTCTGATCTCTCAGCTGAGGTTCCCAAGTGTGGGTTGCTTAGGTACCACTGTTACAGAAAGACAACTGTGACCAACCATAGGCATGTATGGCTCAAAGTCATCCCACTGTTCCTCTCTTCTTGCAGAGAAGCAATGGCAGGGGCATCTCCAAGCACTGTGCTAAACAATGTAAGGCTGCAGAAAAGATTCTGACTCTTCTCCTGTCTCCCCTGAAAAAGGAGCAGGCTGGATTATTATTTTTGCATATGGCTTTGAAGCGACTTGTCTTATAAAAGGAACACTTCGCCCCTGGTTTGGACATACCTTTGGGTGGAGAAGTTTAGTGAAAGGATCACAGAATCACAGAATTATCTAGGCTGGAAGAGACCCTCGGGATCATAGAGTCCAGCCATCCACCCTACTCTAAAGTACTCCCCTACACCATATCCCCCAACACCACATCTAAATGATTCTTAAACACAGCCAGGAATTGTGGCTCAACCACCTCCTTGGGCAGCCTATTCCAATGTCCTACCACTCTCTCTGTGAAGAATTGTTTCCTAATGTCCAGTCTAAACCTACTCTGGATGTTTTTATAGTGTTTTATGTGGTTCTATCGTGTCTTCTTTCCTGCACAGCAAATGTACATCGCGTTTGTGAAGAATTCCAGATTCACCTCTCCCAATGTCCTGCCCATGATCAACTTCATGCAGCGCACGCTGACGGAGATGTACGCCCTGGACACGCACACCTCTTACCAACACGCCTTCATCTACATCCGCCAGCTCGCCATTCACCTGCGCAGTGCCATGACCATAAAGAAGAAGGTGAGTACCCATCAGTGGGGAAGGATCAAACCCTCCTATGGGGAATGTGTGGAGAAGGGAAAATTAAAGTAAGCCCCTTCAGGCTTTTGGTAATCTCTCTAAATTGTCAGTACTTCTGTCTGACCCATTTCGTAACAATGGCGAGGAATTTTTTGCCAGGGATTGAGAGAGCAGCTTGTAGTTGCATGTGTTAGTTTAGAATTTCAGCAAGGAAGGAGAGGAAACCACTCAAATATGAGGAGAAACTTCTTCGCGGTGAGGGTGACAGAGCGCTGGAACAGGCTGCCCAGGGAGGGGGTGGAGTCCCCTTCCTTGGAGATTTTTAAGATCCTCCTGGATGCTCCTGAGTAACATGCTCTAGCTCTAGGCAATCCTGCTTCAGCAGGGGAGGTGGACTAGATGATCTCTATGGTCCCTTCCAACTCTAAAAATTCAGTGAAAGACAACTGCAGGTTTAGAGTCACTTTTCTCTCCCCAGTTTGCAAGAGTTTGTGATGCATATTCCATCTTCTGCCTTGAGCAACCTTTTTCCACTCGGAAGCTGCTGTTTGCAGCCTCTGTCACAAAACCTCAAGGTAAAGAAGATTAGGAACCACCCTGGTGTGTGCATCTTTCCAGTGAAGTCCATGCTATTTAAAGGACTTAATTGAACAAAGCAGCTCAGACCTTTTGGGAGCCGCCCTGATTTCAGCCACCTCCAGTCTGACCTCGGAAATCTGAGTCAGATTGTTAATCCTGGCTTTATTCATGTTTAACAAAACAGACCCCCATAGATTAATTGTTCAGCTGCTCCCAAACATTGTGGGATTGGTGACCAGTTAAATCTCCTGGCTCTTCAGACATAAGGATAAATGAGCAGAGATAAATGAAGTCTGGGCTGCATGTGCCTTAATTGGATTCCGCTGGCTTCTTACACTCTCAGTCCTGGCCCAGACAAGAACTAAATCCACTTGATTTCACAGCTGGGGAGGGTTGTAGGAACTTTAAATGACAACAGCACAACCAAAATGTACAAATCCGAGCAATAAGCCAATTAATTTAAATTGAGTGGTGGGTGTTTGTGGAAGGTGATTACAGGAGCAGATTGTTTATCTGTTCTGTGCAAGAGAAGCTGAGAACAGAACTTGTTGGTGCATCTCAGTGAGCTGGGAAAGCTCTGCCACTTCCAGCTGTGACTTAAGTCCCCTGCTGCAAGGTTCGGGCTGCAATTGAGGACTTCTGTCCTTGTTTTAGGACTTAAGCATCTTGCTTAATCCATGCAGAAGAGGAGATGACCTGGGCTTTGAAAGTCTGTCTGAAACAAACACATTGGAGCTGAGGCACCTTGTTAAGAGCAATCCCTTAAGTTGTTGGTGCAATTCTAGGGAATACGTGGGCCTGCAGAACCCTTTGGAAAGGGTGTCCTTAAGGGACTCCTGGATTCTTCTGGGCTTTTATTTAATCTGGCACATGGCAGGCAGAGATTTGGGTCCTGCCCAAACATTCTTGAAAGCAATGTCTCTTGGATTGGTACAAGCCCTGACCCACACCTACCCCTGAGCCAGCCTGAAGTGTGGGTTCAGTGTGTCCTTGCACGTCAGGCATGCTGCTGGCCTCTTGCACTGGTTTTTGCTGGTAACCATAAAGACTTGGCTGAGAAACAGAGCTGAAAGTTTGATCTCAGCTCTGCTGCCTGTCACTTTTGCTCTACAATTGAGAAAAAATGAAAGTGTCCTGGGTAGGATCTTTTCCAGAAGCAGGGGGGAGTGCTGGGTTGATCATTTGGTCCTTGCTTTGACAGTGGATGTTCATAGGAACACGTTTAAAATAAGCACTGATGTAACCTTTCAGAAGTGAGGGGTTTTGATTAGTACAAAGGGAATAAGGGAAGGGAAGCCTGAAGTGAGAAGGACAAGCTGCTACATAACAATCAAAGGAGTTTGAGTGCAGAGAGGAGTAGTCCAGATGAATTCACATTAATTTTTTTTTTTTGCTTGAATCTGTAGTGTAGCTCTACACACCCTTTTTCCTTCCTCTCTGGTCTGCTGAGGCCAGAAGGCACTTTACAAGGGGTACTACTTCCCAACCTTCCTACCTATGGGAGACTCAGGACTGTGGGTAAATGGAACAGTTGAAGGTTTCCTAAGGCTCGGCCACATCCCACCATCTGCTGTGAGCTGGGTCGTTAAATCATCCTTCACAAATGAGCTGTACTTGTGAAGAAAAGCAGTCTATGTTGCTCATTATTTCTTTTAAGGCACTAACTAGTACCAAATCATCATGTTGCCAATGTAGCATCTGAACTTGCTGGATGGTGGGTCAGCCACAAGCATCAAAGCGACAGCTAGAATGTTAATTATGCCTCTCTAAACAGTACACAGGGTCCTCTTGGAGAGCACTGGATAAAATAAGTCCTGTAGAGAAAACAGAGCGAGCTCCTCTCAAATGCCACATTTTCAAGTTTCTGCCTGTGTTTTTTTCCCTTTTCTGCAGGAGAATTTCCAGTCTGTTTATAACTGGCAGTATATCCACTGCCTGTATTTCTGGTGTCGGGTTCTCAGCACGATCTATCCCAGTGAGGTCATGGAGCCGCTGATCTATCCTTTGACGCAGGTCATCATTGGCTGTATAAAGTAAGTAGGATCTTTTTTTTTTTCTTCTTTTTGGCTATACTTCTTTTGCTTGATGTGGCAGAGCAGTTACTAAGGGGGTGTTACTCTTGTGTCATTTGGATTTAACCTTGCATTGTAAGGAATTGTTGGAGAGCTGCTTTTGATTGAAGTATTCCAGCTGAAGATATGTTGTATGTTTAGGTGGTGAGAAAGCCTTGGGAAGAATAACCTACACCACCACTAAATTCTCTCTCTGTGTAAGGAATTTCAGTTCTGCAAGATTTAGTGGCCAGTTCAAGTCCTTCCATGAGCTCTCCTGTTGAAGGAGGACCAATATCAATCTGCAGCCATTTCTGGGCTAACCTAAAAAGTAGCTCAGTGTTGCCCAACAATGAGAACAGTAAATATTGTGAAATTCCTCTTCCTTTATGCTCCAGAATATTTGCAGGTGTGGTCTGGGCACGCTTCTGAATAGTGCTAACAGTTTTTGCTGTCATTTAATGGGGAGCTGGGGAGACCCAAAGCAATGCAGTTAACTTTGGTGCTAAAAAATACATGATTACATCTATGGCTGGAGAACTCTATCTCCAAGAAGAAATTCTAGATGGTGTCCTCTTTTTTTTTTTTTTTTTTTTTTTTTAAAAAAATTTCTGTGTTGCTGAGTCTTCTTTCCAAGAGGTTAGAGCTGTCTGGCTAGTTCCAAGGAGAACCATCCAAGTGCAAGCATGCCATGTATAGCAGTTTCTGACTGCCTCAGAGCTGAGCTATTTGGAAAAAAAAAAATCAGGGAGGAGATGGGGACTTAGTTTTGGAATCTTAAGTGCGTTTGGATTTTAATAATTTTTTTTTTTTCTAAAATAATTGAGCAGTCCTCAAGTTGCAGCACTAGGTGGTATTTCTGTGTTGCTGAGTCTTCTTTCCAAGAGGTTAGAGCTGTCTGGCTAGTTCCAAGGAGAACCATCCAAGTGCAAGCATGCCATGTATAGCAGTTTCTGACTGCCTCAGAGCTGAGCTATTTGGAAAAAAAAAAATCAGGGAGGAGATGGGGACTTAGTTTTGGAATCTTAAGTGCGTTTGGATTTTAATAATTTTTTTTTTTTCTTAAAATATGCACACCAGTAGGAAAGCCTGCTTGGGTATCTCTGGTAGTATGAAACTTATTCTCATCTGTGGGGTTTGGGGGATTTGTTTTGTTTTAGGGGATTTGGCTTGTTTTCTTTGTTACTTCCAGTGTATTAGCCAGGTGTGATGCTCTGTGTTTAAGCTTGCTGCACGCCACTAGTTCCGTTAACAAAACTGAACTGTGGTGGAATTTCTCCCAGTGGTTATGATGGAATCCCAGTGTGTTGGTGTGTGTGAATTTAGAGACCAAGGGGAGATGAACTCTTCATACCAACCAGTAAGTGTAGATTGTGCAGTAGTGAGGCTCTGTTTTGAGGTAGGGTGCAGGGTAGATGATGGCTCTCTGCTCTCTCCAGATGTGCAGAAGTTGCAACCTGGATAACCTGGACAGATTATCCTCCCAGCCATACAAATTGGCAAGGAAAAATGTACTGACTTATTCTGTGCTGTGGCACTGTTATCAAGTCCTCATTTTTAGCTCTGTAAATAGTTAGCTGCGTTTTTTTGAGCGTATTTGTTAAAATTTGAAACACTAGGACATATTTATTGTTCTTAGTATGCCTCTGCTGAGAATTTCTTTCTTTTTCCCATCAGTTTATATGTTTATATATGCAACTTTTATTCTTTGAAATGGCTGTTAATAACGAGCATTGGGGGAATTTCTGAATCTCTGGTGATCTCTGAAATCCTGTTAGCTCTGTTAACCAGATTCTCAGCTTTAAAACGCCACCCGCCTGCGCTTGAAAAAACTCCCAAGTGGTGATGAAGATAAGCAGATTTAAACGATCGTTAGAGCGTGCATACATCCCTCTTCCCATCCCCCACCTCCACAGCCTCCTTCCCACTGCTGGTGGAGAGCTTTACTTGTCCCGTGGACTAATCTAAGCGGTTTTCTACCTGTCCAGGCAGATAAATCAACTATCTGGGGCCAAGGAAAGGTGAATCGGGTGAGTCTCAGCAAGAGCAGTAAATAGAATTTCTTAGCATCTGTGATGGACAGGGCTGCTGGGCAGGAACTGTGGTTACTGTCTGACAAGGCTTCAAAGATTTTGGGAACCCGACAGATGGGTTTCACGGTGGGGAAAATAGAAATAGATCCCACCCTGGATTCCATACTGAGCCAACACGGTGTCTGGGGTATAAAAAGGAGGTAGGAAGGGTAGCAGATGTGGGAATGATGTGGCTCCATGGGCTTCAGTCTACATCCAGGATCTCTCCTGAGAGTATGGCAGCCTCTTCTCAGCGTCAGTGGCCGTTGCTGTCCAAACTGGGACTTGCAAGAGTCAGTCTCTGGGCCACATCCCCTGGTGTGGATACACGTCTTTACCCACTGTTACAGAAAAACTCAGGTTATTTCTGTTTGAGGTGAAAGGATAAACTCATCTAGCCTGCGGTCAGGGTTTTTCTGCTTCATGTACCACGATATGCACTCCTGGAAGGTTTGATGCAGGGTTTGTGTCTGCCTGCTGCCAGCGGGCTTCCTGGTGGAGATGGTGGGAAGGAGCTGGACCCTTCTCCTTGTTCCCCTGTGCTGCTCAGCTTCGAGAGGTGTGTGAGCAGATGTTGGGACAGGATGCTGTGCAACATCTGGAAAACCTTTTTGCCTGTGTGCTCTGGGGCAGAGGGTGGTGGTGCTGGGAGGGGACACCCCAGCTGCTTTCTCCAGTGCCTTTTGCACCGGGAGGTGGCGCCTGGCTCCAGCAAAAGGCCCTGAGCCTGTGTCCCTCTGTCTGTGGGACAGACTGTGGCTCTTTGTGCCACCCTGGCCTCTTACCTGGGGGGAATGGGGAGAAACCACCATCCAGCATGGATGGGCAGGCACCAGGGCAGAATTTGAAAAGTGGTGAAACAAGATAACAGAAAAAGGTTTCCTGCTAAAATCAAAACTGGCTCCCTCGTCTTGCCTTCCAGCCTATAAAATGCATTGAAACTATTTTTAATAGTACCTATTATTAAAATGGACCCCATGTGTGTCTAAAGTTACCTGTGCTCAAGATGTGGTCCAGGGAATGGGGACTACTGCATGGAGAAGTGCTGGAATTGATGGTTTCTGACTTCTGTGATGCTGGGAAGAGCTTCATTGCTGAGTTTGCTCATGGAGTTGCTATGTTTTGTGCTTTTTCTCTGCCTCCGTAGTCCATAAGTTCCTCCTTTTGATCTGTGTGCTTGCATGTATCTGAGTTCATGGGGTTTGTTGCAGCAGAGTTGTTGCAGAAGCTCCTGTTCTGTTATCCCTCTTCCCCTCATCCTATAGTGGTTTTCTGACCATATCTGCTTGGATTTCTACATTGCTTCCAGTCTACGCTATAAGAATGAAGTTTCTCCCTGGCTTATAGTTAAATAAGGTTTTTTGGTGCCCATTAAGTTTTGATTTCCGGCCTCACACAAGCACAGCCTTGGTGTCCCAGAGCAACTTCCCTTGGTGACCTGTCCTGGTGGGGCAGAGGCTCATGTTGAAAGAAGCTTTTTTTGTCCTCTCTAGCCAGAGGAAGATTGTGGTCACCCAGGAGTATAACAGCAGGAGCTGTAGTAAGTGAAAATAAGCCTTGGGAAGCCTTTAGACTGTTCTTTACACCACAGACCATGCCCTGGCTGCATGGGAGAAGTACAGCAGGCATTCCAAGAGCTGGTGATGGTGAGAAATTAGAGAGCAGCCTCTGCTGAGATGAAATGTGAGTCAGTTGAACCCCCCAAGCTGTCCCCTGGAATGACAAGGCAATTGGACCTTCCTCAGCAGAACTGGGACCCAGCTGTGTTTTGTATTCCCTGTGCATCCAGCCATTGCGAAGTTGAGCAGATTGTTGCATCGCGGCGCACTCTAAAATTAATGGTCTTGGTTTACAGTAAATCTATACACTTAACAGGTTTATTCCTCGATCAATTAATTCCTGAGAATGGCTTTCGTCATCTCCAGTGGTGCCAGATCAGGGGTGCAAAGTAGATTTATTTCTATAATGGATCCAATGATAATTATTTCACTATTTGGAGGGGGGCAGATGCAGGTAATTTATGGTGCCTGGTCAAGCATTTCTTTTTTTATTTTTTTTTTTTCTCTCCTGGATTGCTCAGCTAGCTCTTTGGAGAGGGGAAGGATTCATTTATCAGATTGAGCCTGTTGTCTGAGAACTATGGGGTTTTAAAAAAAAAATAGATTAAAAATCCTTGTTAATGCTGGAGGACCCATGTCTTCAAGTACAGGTTATTCAGAGAGGTTTCTAGAGTAGTACAATAATGAGGTCCTGTGTCTTTTAGGGGTGGCTCTGCATTCTCTGCTGCTGATTTATGTGATGCTGGGGGAACTGACCCTTCTCAGTCCCAGCCTTACAAAGGGAGTTGGTTCTACTTCTTTCTTAACACCTGAGTGTGTAACAGTTTGAAACGTGGGTCAAAGAAAGTCTGGCCTCTTCCCCTTCATGCTGATGACTGGCTGTTCAAATGTACTTGTTGCCTCTCTGAAGGAGATGGGAATAGCTCAGGTCCTCCTCTGGGCTGGAGAGAGCTGAAAAGATTGGGCTGTGAAAGGTCACTCCCACTCAGCCCTTCCTGATGTGCTGGTCACTGCTGGTCCAGCTCCTGCCTCAGTGATACTCCACACTAAGAGGGTCACTGTTGAGGTGACAGCATGAATTCTGTGGGTACACAGAGGGTATGTAGTGTGAAATGGGAACCTTTTTGCCTGTGTGCTCTGGGGCAGAGGGTGGTGGTGCTGGGAGGGGACACCCCAGCTGCTTTCTCCAGTGCCTTTTGTACCGGGAGGTGGCGCCTGGCTCCAGCAAAAGGCCCTGAGCCTGTGTCCCTCTGTCTGTGGGACAGACTGTGGCTCTTTATGCCACCCTGGCCTCTTACCTGGGGGGAATGGGGAGAAACCACCATCCAGCATGGATGGGCAGGCACCAGGGCAGAATTTGAAAAGTGGTGAAACAAGATAACAGAAAAAGGTTTCCTGCTCAAATCAAAACTGGCTCCCTCGTCTTGCCTTCCAGCCTATAAAATGCATTGAAACTATTTTTAATAGTACCTATTATTAAAATGGACCCCATGTGTGTCTAAAGTTACCTGTGCTCAAGATGTGGTCCAGGGAATGGGGACTACTGCATGGAGAAGTGCTGGAATTGATGGTTTCTGACTTCTGTGATGCTGGGAAGAGCTTCATTGCTGAGTTTGCTCATGGAGTTGCTATGTTTTGTGCTTTTTCTCTGCCTCCGTAGTCCATAAGTTCCTCCTTTTGATCTGTGTGCTTGCATGTATCTGAGTTCATGGGGTTTGTTGTAGCAGAGTTGTTGCAGAAGCTCCTGTTCTGTTATCCCTCTTCCCCTCATCCTATAGTGGTTTTCTGACCATATCTGCTTGGATTTCTACATTGCTTCCAGTCTACACTATAAGAAAGAAGTTTCTGCCTGGTTTATAGTTAAATAAGGTTTTTTGGTGCCCATTAAGTTTTGATTTCCGGCCTCACACAAGCACAGCCTTGGTGTCCCAGAGCAACTTCCCTTGGTGACCTGTCCTGGTGGGGCAGAGGCTCATGTTGAAAGAAGCTTTTTTTGTCCTCTCTAGCCAGAGGAAGATTGTGGTCACCCAGGAGTATAACAGCAGGAGCTGTAGTAAGTGAAAATAAGCCTTGGGAAGCCTTTAGACTGTTCTTTACACCACAGACCATGCCCTGGCTGCATGGGAGAAGTACAGCAGGCATTCCAAGAGCTGGTGATGGTGAGAAATTAGAGAGCAGCCTCTGCTGAGATGAAATGTGAGTCAGTTGAACCCCCCAAGCTGTCCCCTGGAATGACAAGGCAATTGGACCTTCCTCAGCAGAACTGGGACCCAGCTGTGTTTTGTATTCCCTGTGCATCCAGCCATTGCGAAGTTGAGCAGATTGTTGCATCGCGGCGCACTCTAAAATTAATGGTCTTGGTTTACAGTAAATCTATACACTTAACAGGTTTATTCCTCGATCAATTAATTCCTGAGAATGGCTTTCGTCATCTCCAGTGGTGCCAGATCAGGGGTGCAAAGTAGATTTATTTCTATAATGGATCCAATGATAATTATTTCACTATTTGGAGGGGGGCAGATGCAGGTAATTTATGGTGCCTGGTCAAGCATTTCTTTTTTTATTTTTTTTTTTCTCTCCTGGATTGCTCAGCTAGCTCTTTGGAGAGGGGAAGGATTCATTTATCAGATTGAGCCTGTTGTCTGAGAACTATGGGGTTTTTTAAAAAAAAAATTAAAAATCCTTGTTAATGCTGGAGGATCCATGTCTTCAAGTACAGGTTATTCAGAGTGAGAGGTTTCTAGAGTAGTAAAATAATGAGGTCCTGTGTCTTTTAGGGGTGGCTCTGCATTCTCTGCTGCTGGTTTATGTGATGCTGGGGGAACTGACCCTTCTCAGTCCCAGCCTTACAAAGGGAGTTGGTTCTACTTCTTTCTTAACACCTATGTGTGTAACGATTTGAAATGTGGGTCAAAGAAAGTCTGGCCTCTTCCCCTTCACGTTGATGACTGGCTGTTCAAATGTATTTGTTGCCTCTCTGAAGGAGATGGAAATAGCTCAGGTCCTCCTCTGGGCTGGAGAGAGCTGAAAAGATTGGGCTGTGAAAGGTCACTCCCACTCAGCCCTTCCTGATGTGCTGGTCACTGCTGGTCCAGCTCCTGCCTCAGTGATACTCCACACTAAGAGGGTCACTGTTGAGGTGACAGCATGAATTCTGTGGGTACACAGAGGGTATGTAGTGTGAAATGGGGAACCTCTTCCTCCTTTTAGTCCCTCTGGTGTACTGGAGGAGCCCTTTTCTTGGTCAAACTTGATGCTTTAGATGGGCATTTTACTGCTGGTTCCTGCCACTTGCACACCTATCTGTGATGGGAGCATGAGAGCTGAAAGTGTTGAACTAAAAAGCATCACTGATAAACTTCATCTGCAAAGCTCTTGTCTTGTAATGCCTTCTCCCAGTAGAAGCTGGAATTTGTATGTTAGTGTGATAGCTTTAACGTGTGTGAGTTTTATTTCCAACTATGGGGTAGCTTCAGTTCAGCAGCTCAAACATTTTGCTGTGCCATACTAAAGCTTTCTTTAGGAGAGTAGGAAAGGTTCTCAAGTGTCACTGGAGGCTGCAAGTGCAGTTCCTCTATAAACTCGACCTAATATCCTTTCTTTTTTTCCTCTCTAGGCTGGTACCAACGGCTCGTTTCTACCCTCTGCGCATGCACTGCATCCGTGCTCTTACCCTGCTGTCTGAGAACACCAGGACCTTCATCCCAGTGTTACCATTTATCCTGGAGGTTAGTAGGTTCCTGGTGACCTCGCAACGGCTGATGCTCGTTACCTAATAAGCCCACTCACTATATCTACCAACAGTTACCAAAATTGCCCAATTTCCTTACTTCCCAAAATCCCTGGTAAACAGCACTAGACAAAATGTATTGTTTGGTTTGCAAATAGGATTAAACTTTTATTGGCCTGTGAGCAGAGAGTATCCGAGATCAGCTGGGTGCAAAAATACATTCCTAGGTGGTTTAACTAATGCAGCTGGAGTAGGCGAAGGGTTTGCCAAAGAAGAGATTCAGAAGTTCAAGTGGTTGCAGTAACTCCTCAAGCTGTTGTTGCTTGATCCTGCTGGTGTGCTCATATCTTAGCAAAAGGAAGAGTTTCTCCTATCTGCAGACAAAGGGAAATGGAAGGAAAAAGCCCTTCAAGAATTAAGAACTTTTTTAGGAAAAAAGATCTCGGTGCACACAACCGTGCGCTATGTTTGGGGAAATACTGGCATTAAGAGACCACCCAGCCTTTCCCAAATATCAGAGGCCTGGCATCTCTCCACGTAGGTGTCTCCAGTCTTGCTGCTGTAAGAAGGTGGTACAGAAGTGGTGCAGCCAAATCTCACTGAAGAAGGAGCAAGGCAGGGTGGGAATGAGAAGCCCCAGTAGGTCAGCATGAGTCTGGACACGGAGGAGGAGGAGGAGGGAGGGAAGGCTTCTGTAAAATATGACCCCAGTCAGCCGGGCTCATTCCTAACCAAGTTCTGTTGAAGCGAAGGCTTTTGTGGGTTGGTGTTGTAAACGTCCTCTGCAAACCACATCCTCTGAGTCTGTGGAAGGCAGCGATGTTTATAAATCACCTCCTGCTCTCCCGCCTCCTCCACTGCTCCCTGCCCTGTGTGGCTTTGCCATTCGCCTCCTTCCTTCCTCTTGTTCATGCATATTTGAAATCCTGCCAACCAGATTTAATGATAGAGGCATCTCCCCCTCCGGGGCAGTGCAGCTTGGGGTGAGGATGGGGTTTTTCTGCTTTGTACTTTTTAGTGCTCTGAGAGATAAAGCCTTTTTTCCCTCGGAGCCCCCCCTTCCTGCCCCTCTTTGCGTTCTGGCCCCGGCACCTTGGCTGTAGTGTGTGTGTCGGGCCCCAGCCAGACGTTACCACACCACACGCCGAGCTTCCTCCTGCCTTCCACAAGCCCCTGCCCACATCCGACCCTGCTGTGTGTGTTTGTGAGGCACCACTCTGCTTGTCCAGGTGTTGGGGGCAGGGGAAAGATGGGGGCAGGGTAAATGTGTGCCTGCTTATTGCTTGCATACTCTTCCACGTTACTTTAGCAAGTATTTTGCTTTAAAATCTGTAACTCGAGGTGACTGGTATGATGTTTAACTCCCATATCTCCCTGCAGCTGCCAACCTTTCCTTTCTTCCTGCCTATCTCCTGCCAGGGATCTCACATATTCTGTGGAGTTCCCAAGAGCATTCAGGACTATCTGGCTGCATCTCCATATCATAGAATGGTTTGTGTTGGAAGGGACCTTCAAGATCGTAGAGTTCTGACCCCTCTGCCCTGGGCAGGGACACCTCCCACCAGACCAGCTTACTCAAAGCCCCATCCAACCTGGCCTTGAACACCTCCAGGGATGAGGTATCAATATTCCCTTGGTGCTTCCACCTTTTCCAGGTTCCCCACTCCTCTCTGTTACAGACACAATCCTTGGTGTGTCTCCACAACTGTCTTCAGGCAGGAGTATTCCTGCTCTGCAGGTGAGATGGTAGGAAGCTTAGCACTCAGAGGGGCAGGGACCTGCCCAAAGTCCCAGGGTGGCTGTGGTGATGCTGGGAGGAGAATCTGTGTTCTGATGCCCAGCCTAGTGCTTTAACTATGAGCCAGTTTCTACCAGCCCACAAATCCAGCAGTCAGTAGTCCCTTGCCACACCATATCATGAAACAAAATCCATTTTAAGCCCATTATCCAAACCATCATGAGATTGAGGGAACTGGTCAGTGTGTTGGTACTAAGCAGGAGTAGATTTGAGGGGCATGACTGGGGTTGGGGGAGCAGAATGAAGCCTTCCCCAAAGTAGTTCCATTTGCTAGGAAGGAGGAAAGGCTGCTCTGTCTGTCACTGTTGCTACTGAATCCATGCGCAGTAGAAGAATGGCTGTGGAGGTTGTGACTGTTCCATGCACTTCTTGGAGAGGGCTTTGCATGACCCTAGGATGTAGATTGATGTGTAACTCAAGAATGTAGAAGATGTGTAACTCCCGTTTCCTTTCCCCTCTCCATCAAGGAAACCCAACCCTTGCTACCTCTTGTCACAGCCCTGTTGCTGCCGTGCTTTTGAGAGACGGCAGATTGAATGTTTGTGCAATTCCTGTAGGAACAGGAATTCCCCAAGCCCCTGCCAGCAGAAATGAGAGCTGGCTACTTGATGCATCTTGACAAGGGCTGATGCTCCCAGCGTGGGCATCCAGTGCTGTCTTCTCCCTTACTCTGCATTCCAGGATGGAGCTAACAAAGCAGCTTGCTAAAATTACATCTTGGATAGGAGGGAGGTGGCTTGAGAGACTGTAAGGCAGGCAGGCTTTTATTTTTGTATTGTTACTCCTCTTGAAGGGCCTGTGAGATCCCAGGCTTTCTCTTTTTTTTTTTTTTTTTTTTTTTTTTCCCCCTGTCGCTTCAGTTATTGTGTGACAGGCATTAGTTTCTCCAGCAGGAAAATTGGTGGCTCATCTGCTGGAAGGCAGGTATGGATAAACAAGGTGGAAATCTCCCCACAGGCAGAGTTCACATGCCAATTTAAAATTGGCTTCCCCTGCGGAGGGATGGGAGAGGAGGTTAACCCTGACGGGCTTAGGAGGGCACGAGTTTTTCACTTTGACACTTAAATGGCTTGAGTCTGGTTTTGGGCGTGCAGCTTCGGAGAAAGTCCCCAGGGGCTTGGAGTGCAACATATATGGGAATGGGCAGCAGATTGTGTTAGAGGAGATGGGCTGGTGCAAAGACTGTAGTTGGAGAATTGATGATACTGGACACTGTCATACATTTAAGCAGAGATCTGAGATTAGTTTTCTACAAGACATGGGCTCTTTGCCTCCTTTATGCAGAGAGGAAAAACTGTAACTTTGGGCAGACTAAGCTGAACCGCTGCACCAACTGAAGATGTATCTATTCTCCTCCCTCCACCACTGTATTGTAGCTCTTAAATTCTGGACCACAGCCCTGCAGGTACCAGGGGTTGTTGGAGTGAAATCACACCTGACCAATCTACTAGACTTCTACAGAGAGATGACTGGCTCAGTGGGTGACAGGAGAGCAGCGGATGTTGTTTATCTTCTCTTTATCAAGGTTTTGGATACCATCTCCCATAACTTCCTCACAGACAAGCTGATGAATTGCAGACTAGATAAGGAGCCTGGGAGGTGTACTGACACCTGGCTGAGCTTCCAGGCTCATGTGGTGATCAGTGGGTGAAATCTAAGCAGAGGTCACTAGTGGCGTACCACGGGGACTGATACTGGTGGTCATGGATTAGTGGTTTGAATGGTGGGGCAGAGCTTGCAGATATGATCAAGATATGAACTTGGAAGGAGTTGTTGGTACACCAGATAAGGGTCTTGCAGTTCACAGGGACCTTGATGGGTAACCATGGCAGATGGAAACCTCAAGTAGTTCAACAGAAAGGCAATGTCATGCACTTGAGGAAGAATAACTCCATAAGAACAACATCCTGGGGGCTGACTGGAAAGCAGCTTTGCAGGAAAGGACATGGACAACAAGTTGACCAAGAGCCAGTGATACCCCCTTGCAGTAAAGAAGGCCAAGGGCAGGCTGGGCTGCATTTGGCAGATCTTTGCCAGCTTTGACTGTGGTCTTTGCCCTCTGCTGAGAAAAAATAAGACCACAGCTGGAGAGCTGTGTCTAGGTCAGTACTCTCCAGGACGAGAGACATGAACATCCTGGAGTTTTTTGTTGTTTTGGTTTTGTTTTGTTTTTCTGTGAGGGTTGCTGAGCTCTGGCACAGGTTGCCCAGGGAGGTTGTGAGTCTCCATCCTTGGAGATACTCAAAAGCAATCTGGATATCGTCCTGGGCAGCTGGCTCTCAGTGGCCCTGCTTCATGACTGTCAGAGCTGTCTTGCAACCTGAACCATTCTGTAAATAAAGAGACTGGAGCCAGTTTTTCCTCAGTGGTGCTTAGTGACAAGATGAGAGGCAATATGCAGAAAATGAAATATAGGAGGTCCTAGTTAAGCATTAAAAAAAACCCCAAACGAACAAAAAAACCCCCAAAACAAACCCAAACCTCCCAGCACTTTTATATGGTGAGGCTGGAACAGGTTGCTTGGATAAAAAATGGAGTGTCTGTTGTTGGAGATGCTCAAAATCTGACTGGACGTGGCCCTGAGCAACCTTTTCTACTTGACCCTCCTAGATGACTTCCAGAGGCCCCTTCCAACCGTAACTGTTTCATGTCCAAGTGCTTCAGTCCAGCTTCTGCAGAAAGTTGGGCAGCTTGTCTGAACTTGGCATTAATCAGACTTTGCTGAAGCTGCTTAATTAGGCAGTCTCAGCCTGTCCCTCTGGTGACCGACAGCCGAGGGGAAGCTGCCGGCAGGCGCAGCAAAGCCCCCTGTGCCGCCTGGGAGCTGGCCCGGGGCAACTTTAGGGTGATCAAAGCAGATGCCTGGAGGCTTTTGCTAGAGCCTGGGAGAAGGAAACATGGGGTGGATGGAGCAACGTGGTGGGTGCAGAGCTGCTGCTTTGGTTTGCACTCTGGCAGTAAAAACAGTAAACTGTGTATCTGAACACTCTTCCGACCAGCCACGTGGAAATCGTCTGCGAGCTCGAGATTTGCCAAAAATCCTTCTCCTTCCTGTCTGCTAGTGGTTATAGCTTAAGCCAAATTGTTGCCTTTTGACATTTTCTGGCCCTCTAGTCCGTCATTATCGCCTTTCCACTCTGCCACAGGATTCCTAGACACCAGTCATCCTCTGCTTCAGTCTGGCCGTTAGCTGATCCCTTCTGCGCAGCCTTGAGATGGGAACCACATTTTCCCGCCTTCCCACACATCCTGACCGGCTCCTTTCCACCTTCTGGGAGAGTTTCAAACCCTCTGGTTGCATTTCCCCCCTTGCCCAGGGCCGTGTTAGAATCCCACAGAGCCCGACGCCTTTTGCTTTTAATGTGTCTAACCTCGGGGATCAATACTACTGTTTTGGTCAAAGAAATAACCATGCATAATGAGGTTTATAGCATCGATTCCCTAGGCTAGGGCTCTTTGTTTTCACAAGCCACCAAGCTTGTCCCTCCCTTCCAAATAACCTGGATTGACAAATAAAATGTAAAAAAATCAATAGTCGTCTCCATGCTTTTCTGGCCTGGGGGCATCCATGTGACCTGAACGCCCTCCCTTTCCTCCTCACCCTCTAGCAATCAGTGTGCTCCATCCCCACCTCGCTGGGCTGCTTGGGGTCTGATGATGAATGTGTCGCTGCTGCAGAGAGGGACTAGAAATGATTTCCTACTCAGGAGTGTGATTTAAAAGCACCGGGGACAGGGAGGAACTGTCGGCTGCTTTTGAGGTGCTCAGAAGTATGGGTGGGCAGGATAATTCTCCTCATCAGCCCCCCTCAATGGTTGTCATCAGATATGCATATGATTGCCAATTGTTGGCTGAGTTTTATTTTTAAAATTGAGATCTCCTCCCTTGATTGCCACTTGTTATCCCCTGATGGGGGTCTCTGGGACTCTGCCCTGGATCAAGTTGGTTTTTTTCAGTTTTTATCATCTTTCTCCTGAGGTCTGGCACTACCAGGCTGGGAAAGGGCATATTTGTGTCACTGCTCGTTTTAGAAGCCTTTTGCTCCTTCCTGTATCACAGCTTCAGAGCAGCACAATGCACATCATGTACCCTGTTCCTGCCCAGGGCAGCAGGGACCAAGGCAGATTTTGGCTCTTGACTGATTTCAGGAGAAAATAGCTTTCCTCTGTGCCACACGGAGCCTTTTTGGGGAAGCGAAGAATGGAGATTCTCATTGATTCACGTTACCCTTTTCCCACTGAAGCTGGAAAACTTCCTAAAAGCAGGGAGTGGAGGAAAAAGCTTCCATAGTTTTTGGTCATAATTACAGTTTGTTAAGTTTTAAGGCAATAATGGTTCTTCTTAAATAAAATCAAAGCTGAGATGCCACCCTGGAGACCCAGTCACGTGCGCTTATGTAAAGTTCCTCTCCATTTTCTTCTTTCTGCTACATGAGTTTCATACCTTCTGTTTTGGAAATACTCCTTTCCCCAACCATTATCGTTAAACAAGCTCTGCAAAAACACAGCAGCAAAGGTGCAGGTCTGCATTTTGACATTACATACTAGTCTGCTGGGCATCCAGCTGTACCCTAGAGCTTGTGTGTCCTCATCGTTTTGGTGAGCAGGGTTCTGGGAAGGGGCCGGTTTTTCTCCATATCCCTTGCTATAAAACAAAATGTCTCCATGGAGAATGATATATATTTATTCAAAGGCAGTTATTGTTGGTACAAGTGACACCAATGGGAAATGTGTTAGAATAGAAACCTTGCCTGGCAAGGGAGTGTTTGTGAAAAGGACTTGCTGGTCTCTCTGCTTTCTGGGACAGTTATTTCAGTGACAATTAAAGGGTAACGGATTTGGTGTAAGCAACATTTAGTCTCACTATTGAAAAGCTGCTCGCCTTAAGGGACAGCTCCAAAATACACTCAAGCTTTGTAGTATGGTCTTTCTGACCATGAGAAGTGTGGGTCTGAAGAACAGACATCTGGTTTCTTGTGCTGTTGCCTGTGTTGGTTTTCTTTTACCTTACACTTCAGTGGCATTTTTCACACTCAGGTCTCTAAAGCTTCGAGCCTGCTTGGCATTTGCTCACTTATCTGTCCTTTGCTAGGGTATTTAAGCAAGCTGTGGGACAGTGATCAGAAGAGGCAAGCTGGAGTCAGGATTTCTGGATAGTCTTCTCAGCTCTGTCACCAACTGCCTGACCTTAGTTGAGTCATTTGGTATCTGTTTTGTTTTGTGGCTTGATCATCTTTACACTCAGTTTTTTCTCTTGTAGGTTTTCCAACAAGTGGATTTCAACAAGAAGCCAGGACGGATGAGTGCTAAGCCTATCAACTTTGCAGTGATCTTGAAGCTCTCCAATGTCAACCTGCAGGAGAAAGCCTTCCGAGTAAGTGGAACCCCAGTGGCCAACAGTGCAGCAAACTGCCCTACCAGTATGCTTTGTGTTCCTGTCCCATAAGGCTGGAGACTCATTTCTAGCAATCTGATTGCTGTAGGGCTTAGTTCCTATCTGATATCTCTATTTCTGCTTCCCCTACCCAGGATGGACTCATTGAACAGCTCTACGACCTGATGCTTGAGTATCTCCATTGCCAAGCCTACAGCATTGGGTTCCCAGAGTTGGTTCTCCCCACTGTCATTCAGGTAAGGTGTAAGATGCTTCTTGGTCATGCCATGAATGTGCACAGAGCAGGGTAAAATCGTGATCTCAAGGTGGGCCTCACAACGTGAGGATAGAGCCATTTACCTTTTCTTAATTGTAATTTTTCTTTGCGTTTTGGGGAATTCTTGGGGAGGAACAGAGGCATCACATCTAATTAGAAGCCTGAAGGCAGGTGAAAGTGGCTGTGGAGTTAGCCACTCTTTGGGGAGCCAAAGTGGAACAGAGTGCTGCAGAACTGCTGTAGAGGAGTGGTTTCCGTTGGTGAACACAGATGAGTTCTGGGCAATTCGGGGTTCTCCAAACCTGTGTGTTGTCTCAGAGCAGTACCTGTATTTTCGGTGCCTCACGGCCTCCCTCTCGTGCTCTCCACAAGATGGCAATCTTCCCTCCTTTCATGGTGTCTCCATCAATGGGGGCACTTTCTCCCCAAATCCCTCCATGCACAACGGTACAATTCCCATCTCCATCCCTCCTCCTTGCTGCACGGAACAGCAGTGCTGCAAAATAGTCTCCTTTGCCTCTCCCCTGGCATTCTGTGGTGCAGGGTGTTTTTCCCAGCTGCTTCATGTTTACATACTTGATTGTCTGCAGTGAAACTGCCCAATGGTGCTGTGTGTGTGGGTGTGCTCTGCATAATCCTTCCCTAATACCTTGCTGGTTGGGTGGCTTCAGTTTTCGATGAGCGGCGACCTCTCTGCTTGGAACAGTGAGATTTCTCAGTGCAAACGTGTTGGAACTTGTTCCCTCCCTTCCTCCTAATCCTCTCTGTTTTTAACTCGTGAGGGGCAGGTGCCGTACAGGTTTGGCAGAGGGCTCTGCCCTATCCTCCATGGGGACAAGAACCTCTGCTTTGCTTTCGTAGAATCACAGAATGATTCAGGTTGGAAGGGACCTTAAAGATCGTCAAGTTTCAACCCTCCTGCTGTTGGCAGGGACACCTCCCACCAGACCAGGTTGCTCCAAGCCCCATCTAACCTGGCCTTAAACACTTCCAGGGATGGGGCAGCCACAGCTTCTCTGGGCAACCTCTTCCAGTGCCTCACCACCCTCACAAGAAAGAATTCCTTCCTAATATAGAATCATAGAATGGTTTGGGTTGGAAGGGACCTCAAAGCTCATCCAGTTCCAACCCCCCTGCCCTGGGCAGGGACACCTCCCACTAGAGCAGGTTGCTCAAGGCCCCATCCAGCCTGGCCTTGAACACTTCCAGGGATGGGGCAGCCACAGCTTCCCTGGGCAACCTGTTCCAGTGTCTCACCACCCTCATAGTAAAAAATTTCTTCCTGATATCTAACCTGAATCTTTTTTCTTCCAATTTAAAACCGTTTCCCCTTGTCCTGTCATTACCCTTCCTGGCAGAGTCCCTCCCCTTACATATCAGATGTAAGTCTCCCCTCTCCCAGTCTGAAGCCATTAACCCTCATCCAACGAGGAGCAACATCTCAGCTGGGCCCCCCTGGCTGTTCGGAGGGGGGGCAAATCTCCTTGTTCCTGCTGCCTGCAATAGGCTGGCATCTGTCAGGCGCGGGGCTCTTGGCTGTGTCCCCTGGCACAGGCCACTGCCTGGCTGGCAAGGGGCTGCTTTGGCTAATGTGAGCTGACAGGAGCTCTCTGTGCGAGGAGAGCAGCTCCCGCTCTCTGGCTTCGCGTGCTTCTCGCTTATCGGCGTTGAACAAAGCCCTTCCCTCTCTGCCAGCAGCTGTCGGGAGCATCGAAGCTGTCGGAGCCCATGTTCTAGCTGGAATGAAAAATGGCTGAGGGCCCTCTGGCACCCCTGTGGCTTCCAAACACGCCCTGGGACCAGCCCCTATTGCTGCAGAGAATTAATGCTATCGGATTCCTAGTTGGCTGCCACTAACCACAGCCTCGTGGCGTCTGCTGGGCTGGGGTGGCTGAGGTTAGCTTCCCAAAATCTCCCAGTCTTCGGGAAAGTGGGGGGGGGGGGGGGGGGGGGTTTCCCCGGGCGTCGGGGAGGGATGTTGCATGAATTGGGAGGGGTCCCCAAGTTTCTGGGTGGGTCCTGGGGTTCCGGGGGGGGGGGTTGTCCTAGGGTCAGCGGCTTTGGGAGAAGCCAGGCTGAACTGCCTTCAAGCTGAACTTTCAAACCTCTTTGCCTGGAAGGCAGGAAGCACCCGGGGAGATCAAAGGAAAAGGAGAGCCACCAGGAGACAGTTCAAAGGCTTCTCTTCTGCCATTTCTCCTGGAACGGTTCCAGTTAACTGTAAAAATCCATCTGTCCTGATTCTTCCTGCCCGATGAGCTCACGCTTCTCTCAGCGCCGTGTCGCGGGGGCTGTGTTCCAGCTGGCGAGGGTTGCGCTCCTCCTCTCCTGGTCAGCGGCTTTGGGAGAAGCCAGGCTGAACTGCCTTCAAGCTGAACTTTCAAACCTCTTTGCCTGGAAGGCAGGAAGCACCCGGGGAGATCAAAGGAAAAGGAGAGCCAGTAGGAACCAGGAGACAGTTCAAAGGCTTCTCTTGAGGCCAGCCGCTGGGACGATCCCATGGTGGTCACTGCCTCCGCAGGCTGGTAAGGAGCTCCGAGCTGAGCCTCTGGATGCTCAGAAGAGGCTGCCTTTTCCCTCCTCAAGAGCCCAGAGAGGCAGAGGTGGGAGGTTAAAGGGAAAAACTGGGCAGGCATCAATAAGGGGTAGGTTCTGCTGGGTGGAGGCAGGAGGTGACACGATCCAAGCGTGACTTGCAGCGAGACAGAAGGGCAGGAGGTGCCGGTTTGCTTTGCCAGCAGCCACTTCTGCTGCTGCTTGCTCTGTCCCCTCTGCTTTCTGTGAGCAGGGGATTGGGCTCAATTTGGGTTCTCTGGAACACACACCCCCAGCTGCTTCAGATCATTTCTAGTTCCCTGCGTCGTTTACAGTAAGAGGAGCTGGTTTTTTGCTGTGGTTTCTGCTGGTATAAACCATTGGTGTTTAAGGCTGGCAGTTCAACAGAATCAATCCCACTAATCACAGAGCTGCTTAACTAGGAACCAACGTGAGATGTTAATGACATCTATGCACACACACACATGCACGTTCTGATTGTTTTATTCTGAAAAGATATGCTTGTTGTATTTGGCACAGTGGAAAAAGGCACACAGAGTCCCTTTCTCTCTCTCTTTTTCTCTCCTCTATTTTCTTTTACCTTCTTGGTTGTTCCCTGCCTCTTAACACAGGCCTGAGATCTCATTACATTTCGTTAATATCTGTGGCAGATAGTGGTGGGACTGTGAGGGATTGCAGGGGTAGGAGAGAGGCGGGGGAAAGAAGAAATGAAGCATATGGCTGCGAGAGTGAACACCCAACACCAAACTGCACAGATAGAGCCTGAGATTTTGCAGGATTTCTGGTGACACTTCTGCAGCAGAAGAAAAATGATAATGTATGTGGCAGCGGATGAAATGGATCTGGGGCTGCAGCTGTGGGGATCAAGTGAGATAAATCAAATGACAAATGCATCCCTCAGTGGAGATAAATATGCAGCACCTATAAAAAATAAATATTTTAGAAAGGGGGGGGTGAGGATAGGACAGCCTTCGCCAGCAAAAGAATGGTTTTGCTGATGGTTCCTTTGTACTTGTTTGATGGGCTGTTTGCTTTGTGGAAAGGGGGAAAGATTCATTTTAACTCCCATTTGTCTGATTTGGATCTGTGATGGCAGGTGGGTGTATGCTGGGGATAACGGGACAAGAGAAGCCCCTGCTGCTGGGTAACGGGGGACATTCTCCACGTGTGTCCCAGACAGCAGATCCTGCAACAATATACCCATCAGGAGGGCAGTGTCCTTACAGAGAGGGGCTAGGGCTGACTCTCACCTCTTGATTAACATTTAATACCTGCCCACTTGGCACATAAGATCAAGCCAATGTGTAGGCTTGAAAGGAGGGAGAAATCTTGCTCCTTCCCCCAGCTCTCTATTGAGGCAGAACATTTGAAGTTGTAAGTGGAGAAGGCAGAATTGTATTTGCTGACTATAAACCCTTTGTCTCTATCATGAGAGCATCTGTAGGTCCCAGCTGAGCTGAAGTTTCAATTGTGGTTAACCATTTTCTTTTGTCTTGTCAGATCCCTTTCTCTAAATCAAGTGCCTGGGTAGTGTGTGTGTAAATATATATGGCTCTAGAAAAGAGCTTGGCCTGCAGAACTGGGACAGCACACCAGAGACTTCTCTTGGGGTTGGTGAAAACTGTTAGCAGACAGTGTAGTAGACTGGAATTCAAGCCACGAGTCAATCTGGACACCCCTGTCTCTCTTTCTGTCATCAACAGTATCCTCTGCTGCCTTAGCTTTTAGTTTGGACGTGTCAGAGCCGTGCAGTGGTGTTGGAGGCTGGTTTGTATTGGGAGGGGAAATCTTTGGGGGAGAAAAGAGGCTTGTTTGAGATTAAAAAAGAAAACACAAGAACATGCTCTGTTTGCAATGAAGTCTGATTGTCTGAGAGTAATGAAGTGTGTTTTGGGCGCAGAGAGAGGGCAGGAGCACATCCTCTGTGAGCAGGATGGTCCTTCCCCTTTCAGGCAGCAGTAGGGTTTGTGGTTTCCTGGCGGACTGGCACTTGTCCTGAGGGTTACACATAAGGCTTTGGGTCTAAAAGAAAGAATTATCTAGGAACATGCTGCACAAGTTGACCACAGGGAGGGTATTCTGTAAATTTTTGTGGGGTGGTGGGTTTGTGCCCTTGAAAACTCAGTGGTGCCAGTTGGCCTTGGGTTGGTAGGCAGACATTAAGCAAACATCACCCTATGTGACTCTGCAGATGGCCATCTGTCCTGACCCACAGCTCTGCTGCTTAGCACCACCACGTCTTCCCACCGAGCTATGCCAAAGATCCTTTTCTCCCAGTTCACAGACACTTCCACCCCAATTTTAAGTCTCTTCTCCCACTCTGCCTTCAATCCCAGCCACCAGTATCATCCACAGCCTCTTGTATTTGGCGTTCCCATTCCAGTATCGACTGGTGTTCTACAATCTTAACCCACAGACAGCCTTTCCCATTCTAATCCTGGCTTCCCTGTGCTTTTGACCATCTGGAATCCACAGGGATCCACTGTTACACCTGGTCTCTGTGCATCTGGTTCATGGTCCCTCTTAAATTTGGCTGAGTCAGGGACGGTGCCATTGGTAACTCCAATGGCAGCTGGAGCTGAGGCCCCAGAGAGCTGCCTGCTTGAATTCCACTGATATATTTCTATTTTTTTTCCAGAAAGAAGTAGCATTAAAGGGTGCAAAGAGGTGCTTTTGGGCAAGGTCCCTGTGCTGGGTTGTGTACAAACATCTCATGTGGCCTTGAGCAACCTGCTGTAGTGGGAGGTGTCCCTGCACATGGCAGGGGGGTTGGAACTAGATGATCTTTGAGGTCCCTTCCAACCCAAACCATTCTATGATTCTATGATCTGCCCTGTCCCTGCAGCTCTTTGCATCCTCCCAGCCCCAGGAGGTAGGACCTGGAGGGTTGAGTTCTTTGGAGTATGGTATGAATTGAAGGGAAAAGACACCCTGTGCTGTCTGTCCCTGGGGTGGGGGGGGGAATGTTTTTTTGCTGATGGGATCTCTTTATGGAAACTCTGACATTGCATTCATTCTTCCTCTCTCTTTTTCCTCCTCCCAGCTAAAATCCTTCCTGAAGGAATGCAAGATTGCCAACTACTGCAAGCCTATCCGGCAGCTCCTGGAGAAACTGCAGGAAAATTCTGCCTACATCTCCAGCAGGCGTCAGAAAGCTGCCTTCGGCGTGGCCAGCAGGGACTCTGTGGTGAGGCTGCTCCTTCCATTTGGGCTTCCTGGAAAGACAGTGGGGCTCCGGCTGCCGGGCTGGAGCGGGGGGCAGCGGGAGGAGGGACACGGAGATGATGGAAACGGGGTGTGTGGGGTGGGGAGGGTGTTCACAAACAACTGAGCTCGGCAGGGCTCGGAGGCTGTAGCTGGCAACACTCTGCAGCCAAGAGCCTCATGGAAAACACAGTCCATAAATTACACCCTTCTATTATTTATAACACATACACACGCATGGAAGCGCCTTGCTTTGCTGGGGCATCTCCTCTACTGAGAAGTTTCTTTGTTTTCATCATCCCGTTCCTGATTTTTAGTGCCAGTTTGTGCCTAAAATGATAGGAGGGAATTTGGCCACCTCTTTAAGTGTGTCGTTTGTCCCTGGTCTGCTGAGACCAGCCTCCAGTAGCGTAGAACCAAGGGGTCAGCAGGCTGATATGTGGCAGTTCGGGATCCCGAGGCAAACTTTTTCCCCTTTTCCTGGGCCCTTGTGGAGACACAGCTGCTGAATCAGGAAAGTTATGAGCCATAAGAACATCCTGGGCACTGCAGTTGCTTCTCAAGAGAGAGGCTGGTGTATTCTTCTGTCTGCAGCCTGAGCATCCAGCCTGCTCAGAAAACGTTGAGCATGTTCAACACCTAGAAAAGTTGCAGTTAAACATCAGGATTCTACCTTAGTGATGAGATGAAGAGGAGTGACTAAGGTGATGGTGGAAACCACCCCCTTATCTTAGGAAATGAACCTGTAGCACAGCTAGAAGATGGTGTGTTAGCTAATAGCTGGCCATCTGGCTAACGGACTGAGAGATGCTGCCTTTCTCCTGACTTCCCCTGCTCCAGGAGCCTGCCTGCTCTGAGCCAGGTCCTCCTCAGGATATTGTCAGGACATTCCTTTCGGTTTCCTTGCTTGAAGCTTTTTTCCTTTTGCTTTGTTCCATCCTTTACAATCCAGGCCCTACGTAAATGAAGCCAAAGGGAAGGCAGCTTTGTTAATGAAGCTTTGTTGATGTGTCCTTTGGGTTGGACTTTTTATCTTTATCCAGCTCAGCAGCCTTTGCAAGCCTGCGTGTGTGCGTGTGTCTCTGCCTGAGAGGAAGGAGTGGGTCTGGCTCTTCCTCGCCTGGCAGGAGAGGAGGGAAAATATTTGCCTGCAAGGGAACTGATGGGTCAGAGTGGTCTCTCAGTGGCCACACGGTGTCATCGGACAGTCTGGGGTTGTGCATCACTGAAATCTCCACCTGTTGGCACGGAGCTGGGCATGGAGCAGAAGTTGCAATGCAGACTAATTTGTCTTCACACACGCAGGGGTGGGGACTGCAGGAGAATTAGCCTTTAAAATCCTGACATACCAATGCCAGCAGCGCTATTCTGGGATTGAGGGGCTGGTGGAACTGGGTTTGAAGTGACTAAGAAGTCTTTGGTTCTGTAAGTGCCATTCTGGGTCAGACTGTTTTGCTAAAGGGATTATGCTTCCCGTCTGGAGTGCAGGGGTTTTGTTGTTGTGTATTTTTTTGCGGGCAACGCTGTGACCACCCACCCGCTCCGCAGAGGTAGAGATTTCAGCCTCTAGGGCTCTCCGTGGAACAGATGGGCTGGGGAAGGTCGTTTGGCTAAATAAGACAAGGGTTTCCAACAACTCTGCCTCTGTCTGCTTTCCCCAGCAACTCTGGCTGCAGTCCCTCGTGGAAGAGCTAAATGATGATTTTAACATCTTGCTGCCCGTGTGTCTCCCGGTTGACATTGGTGCACCTGCTTTCCCGGGGACATTTTGGGGGCTGAGTGGCAGGAATCGGGCAGGACTGGCTCCCCGGAGGGGGGGCAGCAAGAGGCAGCCTGCCCAGAATGAGGGGGGTCTGGTTAAGGGACACAGGCGCCAGTTTGCCAAGGCTGTTTGGAGACGACTCTTCTGCTGTTTAAGGGGATAGAGCAACGGTGTGAAGCGCTGCTCAGAGAGGGGGTCTGTGCAGTCTGTGTTTTTTCACTGTATTAGAGAATTATAGAGTGGTTTGGATTGGAAGGGACATTAAAGACCATCCAGTGCCAACCCCTTCCCTGGGCAGGGACACCTCCCACCACACCAGGTTGCTCCAAGCCCCATCCAACCTGGCCTTGAACCCCTCCAGGGATGGGGCAGACACAGCTTCTCTGGGCAACCCATCTCACTACCCTCAGAGTGAAAAATTTCTTCCTGAGATCTCATCTAAATCTCCCCTCTTCCAGTTTGAAGCCATTACCTCTCGTGCCCTTGTAAAAGTTCCCCCTCCAGCTTTCCAGTGTTGTCCTATGGGAGAAGGGAGCCCTTCTCTTCCTTGGGTCCATGGGAAGGCAGTGCTCCTGGGAGCAGAGCAAACAGCCCCTCAAATACTTGGGTGGGGTGGAAGAGCCAGAGTGGCTGATCTTCTCTGGTTTTGTGCCCAGGTGGCCCTGTGTTTTCCCCCTACTCCTTTGCAAGCAGATGGTGTCGATTCCCAAGAAGGGCCAAAGCTCCCACAGAGCCTGGGCTTCCCAGGATGATTTTGGAGGGTCCCTCGAAGTCTGGGTTGGGTTTGCCAACCTATCTCCAAGATCTGGGGGGCATTGGCACTTCTCGTGAGCAAACACTGCCAGAAAAGGGAAGGGGAGGAGGGGGATGAGGGAAAGGGAGGTATTTCTGTGTCCCCCTTGCCAGCGAGAGCAATTGAAAGCAAATGCTCTCTGGTATTCGCATCCATGCGTTTGTGCCTGCTCCACTGCAGGGAGCAGAGCCAAAATTCTGAGCTAATTCTTCCATGCAACATGCTGGAATGCTGCTTTCATAGGGGGGAATTACAGAGAAATAGGTTTAAGTGAGGGGAATAAAGGTTGTGAATGTGATCGGATCTGCACTCCTGAGTAGCTGGCATGCTTCAGAAAGCTGGATTTTACCTAAGGGTCTATATTATATTAATTTTAAAGAAGGAACAGGCTGGGGATTTAATTTAGTGCTGCGGAGGGAGCACGGTGGTGAAATCACAGAATCACAGAATCGTAGTGGTTGGAAGGGACCTCAGAGATCATCGAGTCCAACCACAAAAAATGTTGAACTTAATGTGGAGGGACTGTGGAGAGATCCCTCCTTGCATCCCAGGAACTGTGGCACGGAGGGATAGGCACACCAGGTGTGCCCTGGCAGTATTTAAAAGATGGGTAGGCATAGAGCTTAGAGATATGGTTTAGTGATGGTTTTTGTCAGTGTTAGGTTGACGGTTGGACTAGATAATCTGAAAGGTCCCTTCCAACCTAGACAATTCTATGATTCTAATATTCCCATTGAGGTGTTCTGACTAGAAAGATGGGAATGTTTGAATGGTCTTTTTTTTATCTCTGAGTTCCAGGACACTTTAAAACCAAAAGAGCTGTACCAGACAGAACAAATAGACATTTCCCCTCCTGCAAGAAGAGTCTTTCTAAGAAGCTGTCCGTACCAAGCAGCGTCAACAAATTGCCTGCTTGCAGCTGGCAGCCTGCTACGAGCCTCATCTGTAAAGGGGGTGACTTTGTACTCCTTGGGAGTGACTCCTCTTGCCGTGGTGGTGTGTCAGACCGGCAGTAAAGCTGTGCTGTCTGCTGCCTGGCGTCTCTGCCAGCCCATCAGCTGGGCTTTCAGGCTGCTGCCGGGGAGGAGACCGGAGAGCAGCCGCCGGCTCCAGCCCTGCAGACCTGGAGCCGTGTTACACGCAGTCCCGGGGGGGTGGTTTGTGAGTCTGGGACCCGTGATTACCAGAAAAGGGCCTGGTTTGGCTTGATGCAGTATTGATAGCGCCTGTTGAAGGATGCATAAATAGATTCCGTGCCATTAGAGTGCAGGTGACACGCGCTGGTTGCCCTTTAATTGCCAAAGTTCAGCTCCTGGTGCCAGCTGCAGAGACCGCACATCGTCTCCGCTTCCCTCCCAGGGATGGGGCACATCAAGAGCCCACACAGACTGATGGATTTCACTTTACAATATATTGCTTTTTGGTGTGAGCTGGGAGCTCTGCACTGCGATCCTTCACAGAGACCTGCTCTTTCTCTCTCGTTCATACACCACTAAATAAACTTGTCCTACACCTTGGCTCACAGGCTGCCACCAACACACTGTTAACTCCCCACTTTTGGGGCTCAGCTGTCCAGAAGCAGTTGATTTGGGGTCTGCTGAAGAGTATTTGAGCTGGTTTTGTGTTTTTTGCTCTCAAGATTATCTGGCCTTTTGCTCCCACCCTCAGACAGGAACATTGTGTGCTCACAGCTGCCCGTACAGAGCTCTGGATTTGTTCTCAGCCCTGGATTCAGGATACTCTTTTTGGATCTGAGTTGACCTTTGAGTGTATCTGTGATAACTTTTGTTCCTCTTGCTCCTTCCCTTCCTCCTTTGCCTGTTTCTATTTCTGCTTGTAAGCAGAAAGGCATTAGATTGACTTTTTACCGTGGTGTAATACAGAGCCTCTGGGCACTGTGGTAATCCACTTAGCAGGTACAGTTCTGTGTGGGTTTGAAGTTAAAGAGATGTTGGCAGGTTAAGAGAAGTGTATTTTAATAGGACATACCACCACCCCTCTTTCAGCACCAACAGGCCAAATGATTGAAAAGAATTTTTAACCATTTAATTTGCTTCTCGCCATTTACGGTGTGTGCATCTCCTCATTCTCCCGGCTTGGGCAGCAGAAACGGGCTCGGTGCTTCTTCGTGCTCTGCTCTCTCAAGGTTGGGATGAGTCCAGGACCCTGCAGGGGAATGTTTGTTTCAAAAATAAACCCTTGGCTGAGACGAGGGGAATGGGCAATCAGACAACTTTGGTACTTAGGTCTTGTAAATGAGGTTTTTCTGAATTGAGAAGGTGATCAAATGCCTCCATTGAAGAAGCAGAGGAAAAATTTTGTCCTGGTAGATCCTCTGATCTGTCCCTTTGATTCCTACCTCCAGGTTTCAGTTGAAGTAATTCCTTTTTCGTTACAATAGGCTGCATCATCTGACTTGACTTTTGTGTCAGTGTCTTCTCACTAGAGCTAGAGTAGATGTGAATGTTCAAGGACAAGGTACTAGGATCCTAGAAGGCACTGAGCTGAGTTTAGGAGAGCCTGTTGTGAGTTCTTAGCAATTCTGAGAATCAGACCTTTTCTGGAAGGAAGAAATGGGTATCTGGGCACCCACATTTTCCAGTCACCATGCTGAGAAAATTTGGTGATCTTCCATACGCTAAAGGATCTTACGCACTACCATTTAGATGCTCCTTTTTTCTGGACTTTATGCTGTTCCTTCAGTGCCATTGCTGTCCTGTGCTTTGGTGTCACATAAGCTGCTGCATTGGCCAGCCTGTCCATTGCATCTTTTGGCTTGCTTTGATTTCCCTGCAGCATCCAGGCATTGCCTTACCCACGGAGAGTGGTCAGTCACACCACTCCTGACTCAGTCGTTACTTAAATACCTGTGCCTGAATTCAGACGTAGTCCTGCTTGCATTCCTAGTCATGGGTGCCAGTTTCCTACCCAGAGGTTGGGAAAAGGTGGTTTGGGAAAGGCTCTTAACCTCTGCTTTTGACCCCCTGCGTTTGCCAAAGTTGTATTGGAAAACTGCTTTGAGAACCCTTCTTTAACTTGCACTCCCTCTCTCCACAGGAGCAGTGGGAGAAGCAGGTCAAAGAGGAGGGGACACCTCTCACCAAGTATTACACCCAGTGGAAGAAGCTAAGAGAGAAGGAGATACAACTGGAAATCAGCGGCAAAGAAAGGGTAAGAATGACATTTTTCTAATTTACTGGACGTCATCTGTGGCATGGAAAGGCAGGAGAGCCATGTCTTGGTGGCTTCTCTACAGGGTAACACAGTGTCTGAGCAGCTGGGGCAATGGATGTTACTTTTGGAACGAGCATCTGCTGTGATTCTGAAGTTTAAATTGTACACAGTTCTGGTTTGGTGTGTTCATCCCCGCATTCCTGGGCTTTCTCACGTTGCTTTGGGCAGTTTGCATCATTTCTTGTGCATTGCATTGCTTTCCTGGTTAAATCAGCATGGGTAGAGCTCGTGTAGGCCTTTAGCTCTTTCTCCAGAACATGGCTGGATCACCACACTAAAACCCAAAATTGCAAGAAAGTCAGGGAGGGAGGAAGATGCCTCTCTCCTTAGCCAAGGGAATGTCAGGCATGAGTTCGGGTCCAGAGAAGGGCGACAAAGCTGGTGAGGGGTCTGGAGAATAAGTCTTATGAGGAGAGGCTGAGGGAGCTGGGGTTATTCAGCCTGGAGAAGAGGAGGCTGAGGGGAGACCTTATTGCTCTCTCCAACTCCCTGAAAGGAGGGTGTAGAGATGTGGGGCCGGTCTCTTTTCTCAAGTCACAGGCGACAGGACGAGAGGAAATGGCCTCAAGTTGCGCCAGGGGAGGTTCAGGCTGGATATTAGGAAAAATTTTTTCACTGAAAGGGTTCTCAGGCATTGGAATGGGCTGCCCAGGGAGGTGGTTGAGGCCCCATCCCTGGAGGTGTTCAAAAGCCGGGTTGATGTAGTGCTGGGAGGTCTGGTTTAGTGATGATGCTCCTTGTTTGTTGTGTGGGTGTCTATTTTTGTCAGTGAGGTTGACGGTTGGACAAGATGATCTTTAAGGTCCCTTCCAACCTAGAAGATTCTGTGATTCTGAGTTTTGTTTTGTGTTTTCTCCTTTCACCCATGTGGGGGTTGGGAGGTGGGACTCGCTGTCTGGCCAGAAGTGCTCAGGCTGCTGTTTCCCACATTTCCTGCCCAGGGGAAGGCTCCTTGGCTGGTCCTCAGGGCGCTGCGCTGCGGGGTGCAGGAGGTGGGGGAGGGAGCTTGCTTGCATTAGGAGTCTAAAGGAAAGCTGTCTCGATGCTAATGCAGTGAAAGTGGCTGAGCTCGGCTCTCGGCCAGGGAGCAGGAAATAGATATAATTGGTGTCTCCAGCGTATGGTGGGGAACAATTAAAATAATCGATGGGGACATGAGGATGATTGGCTCCGAGCCAAGTCCCAGAGCGTGGCAGAAGACCTGGGAGATCCTAGAAATGCTCGGTAGGTATCGTGCACCGGCCTGAGATAAGGGAAGGAGGCTGAGATTCCCTGGGGGCACCGCGCAGAGGGAATGAAAAGCAGGTTTGTGTTCTGGGCAAACCCAGCAGGAGAACGTGGCCTTAGTGGAAAGAAAACCAGGGAGGGAGAGCTGTGACCAGGGCTAAGTTCTTGCCCAAAACTGGCCCTGCTGGTGTGAGCTAGCACTTTCCTGGTAGAAAGAAAACCAGGGAGGGAGAACTGTGACTGGGGCTAAGTTCTTGCCCAAAACTAGCCCTGCTGGTGTGAGCTGACACTTTCCTTGTACAGAAACAGCTATCACAAGGGGAGACGAGCAGCCCTTGGTGTAGACAAAGCCCATCTCATGTTAAAGGGAGAAGGGGAGCTGGAGCTCCTTGGGGTGGCCAGGACCAGCTGAGGTGGAATGCTCCCCTTGAGGGGTATTGCTCAAGAGGGTGACTTCTGAAACCAGGGGAAATCTGAAGGGCACTGACAAGGACTTGTTTTCTCTTGGAGAAAGTGGGCTGAACAGATAAGCTGGAGGGAGAGAGAGAGAGGCAGACTTTGGAGTTAGCTTTCCGAAGGGCTTGTGGCTGCCTGACATCTTTGCTTGGTGAATGGGGCTGTTGTCTCTCTCGGTGGGGACTGCTGGCTTAATGATGCAGCATTGTGAGCCCCAGCAGGAGAGTGAACACCATGAGGCCCATTAGGGCTGGGAAAATCCATGTCCCATTAGCAGCCATTGGGGGAAAGAAATAATAACAGAAAAAAAATCAGCCTGGCTCTCAGCTGGTATGAGCTGCAGCTTGCCTTCTATAACAACACTGACCCCGTCTGCCCATTCCATTTGCTTTTCCCAATGGTTTTTAATGGGATGTAGACTAATGGGCTTCGTGAGACTCGGTAGATAGTAACCCTCTAGCTGGGGATTAAAAGACTGGCCCCCAAATTACCTAATTATTGCCACTGTGTGATGAACACAGGCTGTATCTGTGAGCTGTGGCTCAGCGCAAGCCTCATGCCTTTGCCTTGTGATCACTCCACAGCTAGGAGGGTTTTCTGGTGCCTTTATTTTGAGATGCCCATCTTGAAGGCACTCCTGGGGAGTCTCAGAAAGTTGGAGGCAGCACAACTCTGCACGATTCAACACCAGGTCCTTTTTAATACGCTCAGGTTGAGTTCAGCTAGTCCTGATGTCACCCAAAACCGTGGGCTGTCTGTGGAAATGGGGACTTTTCCTAAGAAGTATGAAAATACAAAGAAGTCCCAACTAATAACCTCTGCTCCCTGCTGTACATGCCCTGCACAGCAGAAATGTTTCACGATGGTGAGATAAGTCTCTCTCTTTTGCTCCCTTGAATTGGAGGAGACTGTTCCCCATCACATACATGAGACATTTTACTCATAAACTGCTCCATTTCCACTTAGTGATGTGTTCCATGAAAGCATCCCATGCCCAGGATGGGATGCATAGGAGGAGGGAGCATAAGATCTTGGGTGATTTTTGCATTTCATTTGCTGCTGCTGAGCAGTGACAGTGACCAGGGTCATGGAGAACAGGACTAGCCAACAGGGACTTGGGCAATGTTATCAAAACTGAGTTTCTGCTTCTGTTGGTGACACTTTGAGCCTCAACTATTTCCTAGTTAGATAGTGCTGGACTCCTCTTTAACTGCTGCTGAAGAGAGATGGCTGTCACTGCTGCCAGACAGGGACTCTGTGGGTCTCTGGGACATGAAAGGCCTTGACCCGAATGGAGCTACCAAAGGAGGGACATGGTGGTCCAGGTCTTGGGCTGCAGGAAGCCCCAGTGCTTTTCCCCAAGGCTGGGATGATGGCAGCATGACCTGGCTGAGGCACTTCCAGAGGCAAGGAATGTGTAAACTGACAGGGATCAGATAAGGGGACCGGGTCTGTGATCACAGCGTAACGCTGGGTTGGAAGCGTAGCAGCTGATTTATTTTAGCTTCTGAGACCTTTGTGTTTTATTTCTGGAGCCTCTCATTGAATCAGTATTTCTGGAGCATCTCCCTCTACCCTCCCACCCTCTGTAAAGTTACGTGCTGGAACAGATAAGAGGAGTGAGGCATGAACCTGCCTTGTCCACCAGAACTGGTAGGGGCTAAGGAAAACATTTTCACCCTGGCAGCTCCCCTGCCCCACCATGGAGCTTGCAGGAGTATAACCACCCTAGAAAGAGGATGTCATAAGATCAGCTGAGGGCAGTTGGGCAGGGACTCTGGGTTGCTGCTCTTCCTGCATTTTGCTTCCCAAGTCTCTTTTCTTGGGCTGCTTTCTTCAAGCATCTTCCCAGCAGAGAGACAGCCCAGCAGGTCTCTGCGGGGCTGGGGGAAGGAGAGGTATCTCTGAGTGGAAAAGAGCAGGTGGGAAGATGATATAAAATTAGGACCCTGCCAGTGGCGGTTGGTGATTTTTCTCCCCTCTCCCCTTCTCTGGCCAGCTTCTGACTTTCCATCCTGGAACTGCAGGTTATTGCTTGTAAGTGCTCGGCTCCCAGAATCAATATTGCCCAGCTGGGAACCATAACCGTGAAACAGGCTGGGAGAAATTGCTGGAATTGGCTGCAGGAGCAAATGCCCGTCTCCGTGTCTCTCGTCATCTCTTCCCCCCATCCTCATCCTCTCACTCTTCCTCTCTCTCCACCCAGAGCTGCTTTTCTCTATAGCCCGTGCTCGGCCGCTCTTCCCGCTGGGGGAAGCTGAGGGCAGGGTGGAAGTGGATGTGGTGGGAGAGGAGTGTGTTGAGGGGTGGTCCGACGGGTGGGAGAGAGCAAATGAGTTATTACTCGCAGGGTGAATGTTTCCAAGCAAGCTAATGTGTGCTAATGCATGAGTGCTTCCCTGGAGGTGTGCAGCCAGGCAGGGGCAGCGGGCAGCTGATGTTGGGAGAGCACTTGGGATTTAATTTGCATTCTGATTATCTTTGCCCTGCTGGCCTGAGCCCTCGCAAGTAAATCCTCCCCCTAATCCCCCTCCGGAGAGGTGTAAAGAGCAGTGAGGTGGTGTCAATTGCGAGTACTTAATGGCATTGATATTGGCTGGCTGCAGCAGCAAGGCTCTTGGCCCATTGATCTCCATAAGGGCTAGCAACTGGGGGAGACGTGGTGCAGACAGACCTTAAGCATCTCCAGCACCTCTTCAGCCATGCTCAAATCTGCGGCCAAAAAGACAGTGCCTTTGCTGTAGCTGTCAGAGCTTTTGGCATCAGTGGAAAACTGCTAATTCAGAGATGACCAGCATAGTCTGGCTCAATTGTGCTTGGCTGCCCAAGCTCGCAGGGCCTGCGTGGCTTTCAGTCCAGAGATGTAGGACAGCCAGCTTGTGGTGGGTGTCTTGCACTTTTATCCATGCTAAGGTACCAGTGGTAGATGGCCCATTAGAGATAGTTTATTAGGTAAAGATCAATAGAGCAGTGGTGCTTTGTAACTGACTCACAGATCTGTTGTCCCCTTGGTGGGCAGCAGCCAGACCCAACTGTCCTTGGCAGTGGGGCTTGCACATACTGGACAAAGCCAAGTTCTTGTGTTTAAGCTCAGCATTTTATGTTTAAAAGTACAAATTACAGTTGTTCTTACTGTTGGTTTTGGTTTTTTCCAGCTTGAAGACTTGAACTTCCCAGAAATTAAGCGTAGGAAGCAGAATGAAAGCAAGGAGGAAGATAAGAAGGAATTCAAGGACCTCTTTGACCTGGACAGTGACTCTGATGAGGAGAATGGTGGATTCCCTATAAAAGGTATGGGGCTGGGGCTGGGCATACTTTCTCCTTGCTCAGAATTCTGTAAGGTGTGGGTCAGTACAGCCCTGCCCTAGGGGGGATGAAATGCTGGCCGTGTTCAGTTCCAAAGATAGACTGTTAGGAAGAGAGAGGGCAGGATGATGATGCCTTTTGGAGGCGTTTTAAAGTGACAGGCAGGAGGTAGTTGGAAGGCTTTTATCTTTCTCTCCTGCTCCTACTTTGTCACTCCAGCTCATTTTAAAGCCTTAGTCCTACATTAGTCTTTTTCTGTACGTGACCTGTGCTCTCTCCTCCCCTTAGCACCTTCCTTTTGTCACAAACACTGACCTCAACATGACAGCCCCAGAACCTGGGGGATGTTTGGCTGAAGCAGATCCTGCTTTCAGAGGCTTTTCAAAGCAGCAGCCGTGGTTCAGACAGTAATTCCCAAAGAGTGAGTTCTCCTTGTGCTTATAACCTGTGCAGGTTCTGGGCTGAGGTCTCGCTTCAGAGAATGTAAAAGTGTTTGCTGTCTTTTTGCACCATGAGTGGAGGTGCAGAAATCCATTTTTTGTTTCCTCACCTATAAAAGAAGAATTAAGAATGTATTTTTAAGTGATGGCGTGCTGGGTCTTTGCTATGTACGTCACTGCAAACAGTAGCTATCGCAGGGGCTGGCTACAGAACAAGGCTCTTCGATGGTTATCCTCTCTTTGCATGCACTATTTATTTATTTATTTTATAGTGACTGATTTTGCAAGTATTCTTGACAAGCCAAGAAAGTTTAGAGCCTTCAGAGCAAATGGAGTGATGTCACTCTCTGCCTGTGACCACGAGGGGGCCACAGTAAATTGTGGAACCTGCCTCAGAAGTTCACCATCCAGTTTGAGGAAAAACTTAGGTGTTCTTCTTGTAATTTGGAACGTTTGGGATATCACAGATTTTCTAAATGCGTTGTCATTCATAGAAAAGGGCAACTTTCAGGAATACGGAGTTTTCTTGTTTGGAGATTTAATCTACAGGTAACATCCTGGTTTGTTTTGCACATCATAAGGTGTGAGGATAAATCTTGAGACCTGTCACAGAACCCTCATTGTCTCCCTCATGGGCATCTGTGGCACGGGAGGAAGAAAAGGTTGGAAAACTCTTGTTTGATAGCTCGAGGTTGAAGTGAGTGGAATTTTATAGGAGACCTGGCAAAGAATGGGAGTGAGCACTTGAACCCACCAAGGTATTGAGAGATCAGTGTGACATCAAAGTGATTTGCTGAGGTATATCCTTGAGGTCTGGGGTTGTCCTGTCTGCCATGTGGGTTGGTGCCTTAGAAGAATCCCAGTGGGTTTGAAAAGGCAGTGATAACTGCAGTTTAGAACCAGGTTGCTGGGAGAAGGGAAACCCAGGGTCTCTTCTTGCACCTCCCAGGAATTGACTTTATGTACACGTGGGAGGTTTGTCAGACTGATGGACATCAGGATCCTGACGAGGCACCTCTGTGATGCAAGTCATGATACAAGGTCTTTGGCACATATAATATACACAACTTCTACCTTGCTTGCCTGCTTGTGGTGGAAATCTGCTGAATATAAAGCTTTGCAACCTACTTGTTAGGCATGGTTCTCCCCTCACGGCCTCTTCGTGGGCTTGTGACATCTGTCCACGAGGTTCTTTGGCAGCTTTGAGGGGCTGACATACATTGTGAAGAGAGTGCAAATGAGGACTAAGGTCCATGTGATATCAAAGGCTCTGTTTGTATGGGTTCCACAGCTGCATTATCCAGTCTGTGGTATCTGGTGGTATCCAATCTGTGGTATCCAATCTGTGGTATCTCATGGTATCTGCTCTGTGGTATCCCATCTGTGGTATCTGGTGGTATCTGCTCTGTGGTATCTGTTTGCTGAGCACCATCATCACTCCAGTGTCAGGAATGGGTCTTGCCTTTCAACATTCCTGGGTCAGCTGCCTCTCTAAGGCCTTTGTTCTTAGTAGGGTGTTTTCTGGAGGGAGGCAACAGGCCCTGAAGGCAGCTTCCATCTCAAGGAGCAACTGTGCTGGGCCCCACCATGGATCCCGAGGCGCTGGGTGGAGGTGGTGGAGCTCTGGGTCTGTGCTGTCGCGTAGGGTGAAGTCCCCTCCAGGCAATGGTGTGACTCCACAGAGAGAAAGGGACAGGGACCAGGGAGGCTGGGAAAAACGCCTGTGTCTTGGGAGATGCACACAATGAGCTCTTGTTCTTGCTCTGTGTGGGGTGTGAGATGTTCCCAGCCACACTCTGCATTCACTGTCAGGGCTGGCTGCAGATGGACATGGAGAAACCAGTGCTCCAGTTCCCTGTCCTTGTGACCATTGTCCTACCGGGTGGCCAGATGTGAGGGGATTTGGGAGGCCCTGCAGCTGCTGGGGTCTGGGTATTCGCTTCTTCACCTGTGAGGTTTGAAGGCATCGCAGTCTCCTCTCCTCAAATAAAGCAAAAGGAGAGTCTGGGACAATGGAAGGACTTTGGTTCATCTTGAATCAGCCTCAAACTACTTCCAGGAGAGACATGTTGATGGCAGAAATCTAGGCAGGAAGGTAAGACTGCTCTGGATGGATGTCCTAGAAGAAGAAAACAAGAAATATAGCTGGAAAGCAATAAATATAGCCAAGAATGCCCAGTGATGCTGACCTCCTTGAAAAGTGACAGGGAGAGACCTGATTTAAGACAGGTTGGTGCTACAAAAGCAACTGTGACACTGATGTGCTGTGTGGATCTTGGAAGCTCATCAGAGCAGATCAGCCCTTCTGACACCACACTACCTCCAGATGTGGGCAGAAGGAGATGGGGCTGGTGGGCTACACCCTCCTTGCTCTGGGAATGGAAGCCTTGAGTCTTCCTACCCTCCAGCTCCAGGGCTGGGCTATAATTGCACGTTTGAGGACACAGGTTGCAGGCACGTATATAAAGATGCAGGTGCAAGTTAAACACCTCCAGAGCTCTTGCAGTGTGTTGAGATACCAAGGAAGAGGAACAAGTGTGTTTGGGGCAGGGGAGGTTACAGGGTGGGCAGCAGCTTAGAGATGTTCTCACCTGAGGATTGCAGAGAGATGGTTTCATTTAATATCCTCTGATGAATCTGTTGGTTCCTTGATTGTGCCTTATCCTCACTGTGGCTTCCACAGCATCCTCTGGTAGCATGGTAAGACATGCCACAACTTTTACTTAGATATTGTTTGAAAAACCCATTTATTTATTTTTTTCCTTTAAGCCTGCTGCCCGCTGGATTCACTGATTAGCCTCAGTCTGCTTTAATGGATCATGTAGGATCCAGGCACAAGCCTGTCTTCTTCTGAATCCCAACCCCAGGTCTGCATTAAGCCAGAGCTGAAAGGCTGATCACAGGCCATCCGCTCGCCTTGGCCGAGGCCGCCTTCTGAGTCCTTCAGGTCCTGCAGGACCCAGCAGTAGCTGAGCTCTCTGATCCCTCCTTACCTTCACCTTAACCTCAGCAGCCTCACAGCAGCCGCAGCCACGATAAGCCATTTATCTTTGACAGCAGCAGCCCTTTTCCTAGTTCATAAGCTTTGCAGGTCTTCAGTCTCTTTGTTCCTGAGTCCCAACCCTGACTTCAGCCTTCGCAGTTGGCCACAGGTCCCTGGTGGAAGCCTCCCACCCATCTGAATCTTCATTCTTGCTTCTCAGGCCTTGCCAAATCCAACGATGAATGAAGGAATCTCTTCTGAATCCTAACAAGGCTGGCAATAACAGACGTGTCTGTGTCTGGTGTCACATTTAGAGAAGTCTCATGGGGTTTCTTTGTGGTTTGAGCCCTCTGCTCTGTCAGTTCTGGCCCTTTTGTTTGTTTTAGGGGCTCTAGAAAGAACAGAGAGGATGGTGGACAGTTCTTTAGAATTTGGTCAGTATGTTCATCAGCAAAAATCCATATCCACTCCTGGAAGCTGGGAGCACTGGTTAGCTCCTGGTTGGTGCATCTCGTGTTGCTCTGAGGGACCTCAACCCAGAGATCCAATCTGGGGGGTGCTGCTGCCTGGGAAGCCCCTGCTCAGTGAGTCAATATGAAAAATTCAGGCATAATAATTGAGGCAGGAGAGGGAGGGGTGTCTCAGCACATTTGGAGGGGGTTCAAGACAGGACTTTGAGTTCTCATGTCCTTCTGACAAGGCGATGCTGCTTCTTGGCTGCCTGTTCCTGGTGGCTTTGTTTTGGGCTGGTGGAGTGGGGTTCAAGACAGGACTTCGAGTGGTCATGTCCTTCTAACAAGGCAATGCTGCTTCTTGCCTGCCTGTTCCTGGTGGCTTTGTTTTGGGCTGCACAGGAAAAGGAAGGAAAGTGATGAATTTGCAATCATTTTTTAATTTTGTGGATCTGAGAGGAGATTCACACCCCCTGCAAACAGTTCCATCACATCAGGTCAAGCTGCCCTCTGGAACAGAGAAAGCATTTGGCAGGCAGGAGAGACTCCCTCGCTTGGGTCTCTGCAGGGTCCGAAGAGGGGAGAGAGACAAGTTTGGACATTTCAGGAACCCCCGAGCAGACGAGGATGGAAAGAGCTGGGAGATGGGGAGGAAAGAGCGTGGATTTGATCAATCTGTGTGTCTGTGGGGGTGGGGAAGGTCCTGCCTTCCTCTCATTTACCAGCTGACACGTCTCCGGGAGGAGAGGCGGCTGCTCCTGGAAATTATTAATGGCTTCGGAAGAGGTGCTGGACTTGCCTCCTCATGAGGCAATTAAAGGCGAGAAGGGAGCGTGGCTGCAGCGTCTCCCCGGGCCTGCCTGTAATGAGTGATCTGTCCACATTAGGTGTTGCTGTGCCTCTAATGAACTTGAACAGGTTTCTTCATTTATCCCTCACGTAATCACGTTACATGGGTTTAATGCCAGGCTGGTGGGGGCCAGGGGCGTGGAAGGAGAGGTCAGGCATTTTCATTTCCTAGCAGAATAATCACGGCCCTTTTCAGTGGCAGAATTCCTGGTGGAGGGCTGTCGGCTTGGGGACCTAGAGGCGAAGTGAGGAGGTGAGGAAGAAGAGGGGAGCAGCCCTGCTTAACTGGAGAACCCTGAGCTGCTGATGCATCCTGGGGATGCACTTCCAGATGGGAGCTGGAGTTCTGTGTGAAAGCTGGACTGGGACACGGGTGGAAGGGGAGGCAGGGGATGGGGAAGTCCAGTAAATTCCTCTTGGTGGCCTGCGTTTAGGGCTTCAAAGGTGATGAGGGGCTGGAGCATCTCCCTTACGAGGAGAGGCTGAGGGACTTGGGTCTTTTTAGCCTGGAGAAGAGAAGGCTGAGGGGAATCTGATCAGTGCTGATAAATACTCAAAGGGAGGGTGTCAGGAGGATGGGTCTGGTCTTTTTTCAGTGGTGCTCAGTGAAAGGACAAGAGGAAATGGGCACAAACTTTAATGTAAGAAGTTCCACCTAAACATGAGGAGGAACCTCTTTACTTTGAGGGTGGCAGAGCCCTGGCAGAGGCTGCCCAGGGAGGTGGTGGAGTCTCCTTCTCTGGAGACATTCAAGTCCCACCTGGACACGTTCCTGTGCAACCTGCTCTGGGTGGACCTGCTTTGGACTAGATGATCTCCAGAGGTCCCTTCCAACCCCACGGGATTCTATGATCCTGTGCTGCCTGTGTCGTAGCGCGTAGGAATGCCCCGATACCCAGTTCCTACCCACAGCTGGTTTCTTTCCATCCTCCCAGACGAGCCGAGGGCTGGATGTGTCGGTGCTTTTGCTGGTGCTGCCTGATGGATGGGAGCATTGTCCCTCGGGGCGGCTGCCGGAGCTGCTGGGGTGCCCATCAACATGATGTGGTGCGGAGAACGGCACCGCGATCCATCTCCCGGGGAGCGGGGGCTCTCCGGGTGCCCCAGAGAGCTCCAGCCATGAGATGTAGCTTCCCATCCCTCGGGGGGGAATGGCGGGGAGGCTGGATGCTGGCGGAGCTGACAGATGGGGGAAGGCAGAGCCATGGGGGCGATGACGGGGAGCGCTGGCAGCCGCCTTATTCATGGCTCTCTCCAGCTCAGTGAGTAACGCGGGTCAGCGGCTCCGGAGGGAGCGCGGGGCACAAATATAGATGCCACCGTGGGGCCCAGGAATCACAGTGTGAGGAAGATGGACAGGCAGTTGGCGAGCAGAGAGGCTGGAGTGGGAATAAACAGCTTCTGCGGCGCTGAGCTCGGGCTTCGCTCAGGGTGAGGGCTGGAAGGGGGGCGGGGGGCAGAAGAAACTGGTGGTTCTGCTCCCTCTGTGCAGGGTTTGTGCTCTGTTGTTTAAATGCCTGGTGACTCACACGGTCCTGAGAAGGGAGAAGCACTTCACTTCTCCACTGAAGTGAACTCAACCTGAGTAAAAGAAGTCTGGTTCCAGAGGTGGATGATTTTTCCAGAGGCAGATGATTTTCCCACAGGGCAAGCACCCAGAGGATCCTAATACTTGGTCCTGCCATCTGCAGGGGGAATTTGCAGGAATATATTCCTAGACCTTTTTCTTGTGTCTAATATAGGGAATAAAGCTAAGAGGTGTTTACAAGGATGCCCTGAAGCAGAGTTTACCCCTGTTTTCAGTTGCATATCACCATGGAGGGGTGGAGATGGGGATACACAGGCACTATTTCTCAACAGACCCAGCCCTTCTCTGCTCTCAGCTTTGTGAATTATTCCTTCTCCTTTCTCCTGTCTATTCAGTAGGCCCGTTTCTCCTCATTGTACCCTTCTGTCTGTCTTCCTCTCCCAGCTCTCACATCTCTCTGAAGCAGGGCAGACAGGTTCATGACAGACACTTGGGTGAAGCTCCATAAATACCAGGGAGCAGCAAATCCTGAGCTTTAGCAGTAAAACCCCACTATGGGCTTCTGAGGAGGTTTTTCTGCCTCTCTGTGCCCTGGTTTTCCTGGCCTCTGAAATGAAACACATCCTTCTCTCGGCCTCCAGTCCGAAGGGACATGGTTTTTGGGAAAATATGGTGATTTTTCCCCTTTAGTGTGTGCTCCTGAGGATGAGTGTTGGGATCAGGGTACTTTGCTCTTTGCATACACTGCCTCTGTGTTTGCTGCTCTTTCTGTTTCCATTCACACAGTAAAAATACTTGCAGGTAAAGGCAAAGCCAAGCAGGCGTCAGACGACAGTTCAGAAGCAAGCAGCGAGGAGTACGGCGAGGATGATGATGAAGAAGAAGGAAGGTATGAAATTGAAGAGGACGAGGAAGAATTGGGAGAAGACGAGAGCGATTCAGAGGGTGAGTAGCGGAGCTGGGCGAAGGGGAAGGGAATCACTGACAGCAGAGGTAACTTGAAGGCTCCTTTGCATTCTGGGGGCTCCTCTACAAAGGAACTGTCTCCTCTTTTTGTGCTGTGCTGCTGTTCTGAGCTGCGGGGTGTCAGGAGGGACTTTTACACACACCCTGGACAGGGAGACCTGGTGGTTCTGAGTTTATACTGCGCAGAGAGCGAAAGGGTTAAGGCCTTTGCAGGCCTTGCTCTAACAAGCCACCGGTTCCCTTTCATCTCTTTTCAGGGCCCTCCTGCAGAGAGGCTCAAACAAACTCTTGAAGCACAGCCCACCCCACCGGGGTACAGAAACCTTGCTTCAAGGCTCTCCACAGGTTACACCTCGCGTGGGGGTGTGGAGGGTGCGCTTGGCGTTTCATCTGAGCGGTGCCTGGGGTAGGGGGTGCTGCACGGGGGTAACCCTTTAGCTGCTGCTTCCCTGCAGGGTGGGACTGGCAGGAGATCTTGTCCCAGTCCTGTGTTCACCTGGGGTTTCTGCACTGAAGCAGCGGTATTTATTGTTATTATTCTGTTTGCTGGTTGGGTACAGACACTGCTAGAACTGTGTCCAGTTTTGGGCCCCCTACCATAAAAAAGACACTGAGGTGCTGGAGCGGGTCCAGAGAAGGGCAACAAAGATGGTGAGGGGTCTGGAGAATAAGTCTTATGAGGAGAGGCTGAGGGAGCTGGGGTTATTCAGCCTGGAGAAGAGGAGGCTGAGGGGAGACCTTATTGCTCTCTACAACTCCCTGAAAGGAGGGTGTGGCTGCCCAGGGAGGTGGGTGAGGCCCCATCCCTGGAGGTGTTCAAAAGCCGGGTTGATGTAGTGCTGGGAGGTCTGGTTTAGTGATGATGCTCCTTGTTTGTTGTGTGGGTGTCTATTTTTGTCAGAGTTAGGTTGACGGTTGGACAAGATGATCTTTAAGGTCCCTTCCAACCTAGAAGATTCTGTGATTCTGTTGGCTTCACTCTCTGCTTGGTCCCCATCACTTCTGGGGCATTGGAACAGGCTGCCCAGGGAGGGGGTTGGGTCACCATCCCTGGTTGTGTTCAGGGGATGTTTAGATGTGGTGTTGGGGGATATGGTGTAGGGGAGGACTTTGTAGAGTAGGGGAGATGGTTGGACTCGATGATCCCAAGGGTCTCTTCCAACCTGAACGATTCAGTGATTCTGCTGGTCGGTAGCTGCCAGAGCGGTGGGTGTCAGGAGGAGGTGACCAGTCCAGGCTGTTCCTGGCAGCTGGTGGGTAGCTGTCAGCGCGGTGGGTGTCAGGGGGAGGTGACCAGTCCAGGCTGTTCCTGGCAGGCCAGAACAAGGGCTGTTTAAGGGGCTACTGGAGAAAGCTGCTAGCCGTGTCACCGGGACTGTGCTAGAGGCCGAGCCAGGCTTTGTCCCAGCTGAGGAGGGAGCATCTTCCCCTTCCGTCCCTCGCGCGGAGCCACGGCCAGCTCCAGAGCCTGCTGGTGCCGCCAGCCACGCTTGGCTCGCTCTTGCCCGGCTCTGCCAAGTCGCCCCGCGAAGCCGGCAGACGGAAGCGGGCCCTGCCAGGGGCTCTGCCCACCGTGGGGTTCCTGCCCTGGTCTTTGTGTGCCGCTGGCTTAGGCCTTTGTGTGAGGGAGCCCCTGGCTCTGCCCCTCGGCGTCCCGCGGGGGGTGATGTGCGGTTTGTGGGGAGCAGCCACAAAAGCTCCTGTGTGCGGGCTTTCTTTGCCAGTCTGGGGAGCAGGAAGGGGGAAAGAGTCCAAGGGAGAGCAAAATGCGACTGATTTAGCGTGGCAGATGGCTGCGGGTTGGCAGGCACACCCCGGCCTCGGCGCCCAGAATAGATGGGTGTTTGATGCATGTTCTGACAATGCTGGGAAGGATAAAGAGGGAGTGTTTTCCCCTCTCTGCCGACGGAGGACTCGGATAACTGAAGGAAAAGCACCCTTCCTCGGTGTCTGGGGGAGCAGGAACCCTGAGCCTCCCTCCCTTCACTCCCTGATGGCAGCTTCCTTCGCTTTGGGCTGTCGGAGCTGATCCAGGGAGTGCTGAGGAGGAGGAGGAGGAGGAAGCAGCCGTGGCCCATTGCAGCCTGCCAGAGGCTGTGGGCATAAAGCCGGAGGTAGGAACTGGTGCTGAGCAGATGCTTGGCTGGTAGAACCTAAGAAGGATGGTCTGCAGGGCCCCCTTTGGAAGGAAGGTGTCGGAAGCTCAAGCCACACATGAAGGGCACTGGGAATGGGGACACGTACAGTCCTGCACAGCCCCTGGAAACCAGTTCTCGCTGTGCCCCCCACTATTAACATACCTTTTCCAGAAGGAGGGACCTTAGGGCAAGTTTTGCATTTGAGAGTCTTGCAGTTACCTACGGTGGTTCCTGCCTGTCACCTCTCCCTGCCCAGCCCGCCATCTCCAGTGAGGAAGGCTGACCTGAACTGGGCAAGCTGGGAGGGCACCGCCTGCCTCCTGCCCCCCCCGCCCAGGTCTTATTTTGGGTTCCTGCCTCAGGCACAGCAGTGAGTTGAGTCTCCCCTCCTCTCACCCCGGAGCTGTACCCAGCACTCTCCTACCGCTATCTGGGAGCTGCAGCGGCGCCAATAAATTAATGAGTGTCTGGGATTAATTAGCGGTGTGTTGCCTCGACTCGCCTCACGCTCGCTCCCAGTAAAGCAGGATTTACACCTCTCACTCTTTCCACCCGCAGAGGAAGGCGAGGAAGGTGCTGGGGCTTCCCCAAGGACACAGAAGCAGAGGAACCGCGCTCGCGGGATGTCACGCTCCGACCTCCAGCAGCTGGCCCAAGGAGAAGAGGACATCGTGGAGGACTTGGCTTTCTCTGATGACGACTGAGCCCCCTCGGGACCACCCTCTCCAGGCTTCTCCCCAACGGAGCTGCTGTGCACTGGGTCACCAGCCCTCAGAACCTGTAGCTGGGGCTCACAGAGGTGGTAAGAGCTGGGGAGCACGGGGGGTGGGCTGCCACCCCCAGGTGACACCACGGACTTTCTCAGTGACGCGGCAGAGACGCTACTTGGACTCTCAGACTTTTTCTACCGGTTATGTTTTTGTTAACAGTAAAATTGTGGCCACGTCAAAGCCAGTAAAACTGCTCAGCGTGGGTAATAAAAAGCCCTCATTAAAATCTGCTGCTTTAAATAGCGTAGGGTTCAGTTTCAGCTCCTGCTGGAGCGGGAACAAGCTGACCACGGGGAAGGACGAGTCCTTTTGTCTAAGGGGCCTCGTGTCTGTTCAGCCCAACCACTCAAGTGGCCCCGTATTTTCCTCTGGGGCCTTCCCCAAACCCTTCCCTTCTGCCCAGCCGTTGTTAGGGATTGTACAGGGTGTTTCAGAGCTTTGTATTGTGGCTGCAAACGAAGCCTTGATCAGCACCACCAGGAGCAGCTCAGTCGGTTCAATCAAGCTGGATGTAAGTCTGCTAAAGAAGGTAACTTTAAGTAAGTGCCTTAGGACATGGAGGGGAGATGAGAGGGAGGTTGTACAGGCAGAAAGGAGTAAGAAGAGGCAAAAATAATAACGTAGGAAACATCATTTCGTGTTGTGGGGGCTGTTGGGTTTGCACGGGATACATTTGTTTAGCAAAAACAAGGGATAAGCCTGAGTCCGTGCTTTTAACAGCCCTGTCGTTATCCAGTGACATAAAATGGCCTCTTTCTAGGGCCAGTCCCAGCTGCTGCTGCTGGTGGTGATCACAGCTGAGTTCTGTGAGGCCTGAAAACAGTAGTGGTGATTTTTATGGTTATATCATCTCAAAGCCAACCATGGCATCCCCTGGGCAGGTTCTGGATGCAGCTCGTTGTGTCTCTTCCTGTAGGAGCGGAGCTTGAGGGAGGACACGGTGTAGCTCAAGGTGGGTAAAGGCAACTTGTGATCCCCTGGGGAAATACAAACAGCTTATCTCTTGAGACCCGTTAGTTTGCAGGACTGGCTGCTAGGAAACGTGTTTCTTTGGAAAAAAAACTGGAAACAGAGGGCATTTGCTAAGAAAAAGCTAAGTAGTTAAGTATTTATTTAAGTAAAGTATTGCTGGGAAAAGTTAAGTATTCTTAGGGCGTATCCGACAGAATCACTCCTGAGTTAAATGTGGCTGCCAAGAGCATTGGTATTTGTTAATGCAGATTTTTTTGGGGGGGGACAGAAGACACAAGGGCCAGGACTAAATATGATCTTTATTCTTCTCTGCCACCACTCAGTAGGTGTCTGTCAGCACTAGGGGTGGCCAGGCCACCTGCACAGACACGGTCATCTCCGCCGCCTTCTCCTGCCCACCACGGGACAAGGTGCCTTTTTTAAGAAAAACATCTTAAAAGAACAATCTTCTTCCTTTTCTTTTTAAAGTTTTATTTTCATGGAGTCAGAAGAACCACAGCCCTATTGCAGGTAAACCCCCCCCGTGTGCTGTGGCCTGGCTGGTGGTCTCCCTCTCACCCACACGTGTCCGTGATAACTCAGGGTATGTCAAGAGGTAATTAAGCTCTTCCCGTCCTACACCAAGTACTGCTCCTTTCCTGCTTCCAGACGTCGTTACCGCACAGGTAATTAGTGCAGTAGCACACTGGTGTGGGGTGTTGGCTTCATTCCATTAGGGCTTTTCAGAGCTTAGTGGCAGGAATAGGGATAGAAAGTCTTTTTTTTTCCAGCTCCCCTTACCTGCCCTTCCGAGACACGCACCCGGCTCCCCGTCATCCCATAAGGAGGAGGAAATAACCACAGAAATTAGTAATTTGGGTTTTTATTATTAACATCATCATTATTGTAATTACTCTCATCATTTATAGCCCACTCTGAGGAGGCGAAAGCACCTGATGCTTCATTAGGGCTTCAGGAGGGCTCAAGAGTTGAGGTTCCCCACAGCTGGTGAAGCCCCATGTCTTCAGGAATTGCACATGGGAGACCAGGATACAACTGCAAAGATGAGAATTTTAAGGCCCTAACTCTAAGGAAAAGGTTTTAACTTACCTTGTCTTCCAAAAGAGAAAGGAGTTCCTTTTCCTCCTTTCTCCACCTGGGCTGGGGAGGTGCTGGCTGCCTTTTGCCAGCTCTGAACCCACCCTCGGAGCGGCTCCAACAGCTCCCAGGCCCCAGGAGCTGCAGCCCCACAGAGGGAAGGACAGGAGACATCTGGGTGAAGGACCCCTCCCAAGGAGCTCAGGAAGCCAGGTACCATTTGTAAATTAAGTGTTTTTTCTTTTTTTATTTAAATTGATTGCTGGAAAGCATTTTTTTTTATCGTGATGTGATGGATAATGACTTTTTTTTTCTTTTTTTTTTTACAATATAAAGAAGCTAATGTACCACCAAGCTATTTTGTAAGAAAAACGGTAGCACGTGCAACGTTTAAACAAAAAAAAAAAAAAAAAGGGAGGGGAGGGGGGAGAGAGAGAGAGAAAAGTACCACATGTGATTGTTCACAACTGTACAAGTCACAGGAGGTCACCCCCAGGAGTTACCATCTCGTTCACAGTAGTAAAAACCTCTACCCATTGTTTTTAGCCTGAATCCCACCCCCCCAGCCCTGTGTCCCTCCCCCTCCTCAGGGAACACACAGGTATCCATCGTCTCATGGTCCACAGCAGGCCAGAATGTGCAACTACATCCACCTCTGTAACAAGGCTTTAAAAAGAACAACAACAAAAAAAAAACCAAACAACCCTATGAACAAAAAAACCACCCCAGGTGTAGAAATGAGTCTGTTGTACACGTGGAGGAGGGAGGGGGCCACTTCGGAGTGAGGCCTGTGACCCCGCATCCCGCAGCACACACTCTTCTCCTCTTCAAAACAAAACAACTCATTAAAAAAACACAAAAATAAAAACCAAAACAAAGCTCTGCGGGGCTGGAGCACGGGCAGAGTCTGGTCTCTGTGTGTGCCAAAAGGGACATCGTGCCGGGGAAGGGGCAGCCCCGAGCCCGTGGGACAGCACGGAGCCCCCTGTGCCGTACCATCCACACCCAAGTAAACATGGACCGGAACTTGCCTTTTTTATTATTATTATTTTTCTTTGTTTTGTCTTTTCTTTTTGTCTGTCTTTGGTATTGTTTTAAAAGTTGCTAGAGATGCATAGACACCTGAATGAGGAACTGAGAACAGTTTCCAGGGAGGAGGAGACACTGGGGAAGGTGGTTGGTTTCGTTTCTGATGGGTTTTTTTCCACTGGGGGGTGGTGGGTACCGTTGGGGGGAGGGGTGCCCCATCCCCTCCCCTGCAGGTCCTGACAGCCGTGGTTCTTTGAAGGCCAAGAAGAGCGTTGGTTCCCTGGTGGTGACTCTCCAGCTGGGACTGGGGAGCAAGATGGGGCGTGGAAGGGACGGGGAACGCCGCTGCCATCCATCCTCCAGAACCATTGCCTTCCTCTTCACTTGCCTTGTCTCAAGTACATCTTTGGATAGTTTTCTTTCCTTCCCTTTTTTACACTTTTTAAAACTTCTCTGTGTGTGTTGTGGTTGGTTTGTTGGTTTGGTTTTCTTAAACAAAAAGCAAATGCATCCAAAAAAAAATATTATCAACCCCCTCCCTTCCTCACTCCTGTGTCTCGCACCCGGCGGCGGGAGGCTCTCCTGGGCTCTCAAACACGCGTTACCTTCTGTTGGTTCCACTGCCCCTCAGTCCCAGCAGCTGCCCAGAGCTGTCCTGCAGTTAGGAGGGAGGTTTGGGGGTGTCGTTGATGCCCGTGATGAGGGAGGGGTTCCCGTTCTCCTGCTTTGGTGAGCCGCGGCTGGCGGGGGGGAGGCCGCTGCTGAAGGGGGAGGCCACGCTGCCCGTGGAGGAGGGACGGAGATCGGCCGGGGGCACGTCCCGCTCCGGCGGCCGCAAACCGGGGGGCTGCAGGGGGAAAGCCATGGGGAACCCTGCCATGTACAGAACTCTGCCCACTCTCTTGGCCACCTATTGGAAAAAAAACAATAGAAAGGGGAAATAAATATAGGGAAAAGGGGATGAGAATGTGCACAAATTGTCTTCAGGAACCCGTAGAGACTGCATTTTCCTGGAGCAAACCCAAAGTGAACTGCAGGTAGAAGAGGTAGGGTACATCATTTGGATGAAGAGCTGCCATTCCCAGTCCACAAAAAAAACTGGGGACTTGACTTACCAGAGAAGTCCACCCCTGGGGACTTACCGGAGAAGACCAGGGAGGGTTTCCCCTCTGTCCTTTTCCCTACAGGACTCTGTCATGCACTGGTGCTCCCAGCTCTGTAATAGTGAGCACCAAAGTGCAGCTGGAGCTGCCCTAGATCACATCCCCTGGGCTAAGGATGTGCTGGGACTCGCTGTGCAGGCCCTTTCCCCTGTTTTGTGTCCTCCTGTGCTCCTTGGCTTGCTGAGGTGTGAGCTGAAGGGAAGTGTGCAACCCCAAGCTGAACCATAAATATAAATAATAATAAATATACTAATAAATAAAAACAATCAGGTGTCACTGTCTCATCAGGGGACTGTAGAAATGTGCAGCCTGGTTACCTGGCTAGATAAGGCTGCGTGGACAACTCTGACTGTCCTCATCTGTCGTGGCCCCCAGCTCATCCCCTCCGTGGGTGGAACACGGTGATGGCAGCAGGTCCTGGGTCCTCTCTGCTACTCGAGGCGTTGGGGAGACACCCCTTGTGCTGCCTTGAGGGGGCTGAGAGATTCCTGCCCCTCCTGGGATTTCATTAACGGGCACCTCTGGACGGAGAGGCTGTTACACCCTTCTCCTCCCTTTCCCAAATAATAATAAATATACTAATAAATAAAAACAATCAGGTGTCACTGTCTCATCAGGGGACTGTAGAAATGTGCAGCCTGGTTACCTGGCTAGATAAGGCTGCGTGGACAACTCTGACTGTCCTCATCTGTCGTGGCCCCCAGCTCATCCCCTCCGTGGGTGGAACACGGTGATGGCAGCAGGTCCTGGGTCCTCTCTGCTACTCGAGGCGTTGGGGAGACACCCCTTGTGCTGCCTTGAGGGGGCTGAGAGATTCCTGCCCCTCCTGGGATTTCATTAACGGGCACCTCTGGACGGAGAGGCTGTTACACCCTTCTCCTCCCTTTCCCCACCCCAGCCCTGCCTTACCGTACAGAGGACACTGAATGTCCCCTTCTGAAGAGCAGAAATTGCTCTTGGGGGGGGAAGGGGATGACAGGGTGATGGAGAGAAAAGAAAAATTAGAATTAAAACTGTGCCTAGAGGGTGGCTGCTGTGAACTGCACAGGAAACTCTAAGCCTCCAGCCTCTCCCTTCTTCTGCGGGACCGAAGCAAACTCTCCTGGAGCAGTTCTCGCCTCCCAGCGAGGGCCAAAGGCCCCACAGCTTTCCAGCACCTCCACAGCTGGTTCACATTTCAGCTTAAACAAAAACACAGGCTTGTGTTCAAACCAGACAACTGCAGCATTATTCAGTTTGCAACATCAGGGCTTTGCTCCCCGCTCCCCCCCCGCCCCAACCGTGCCTTATTATAGAACCTTAAACACTATTGATTAAATCGAAGCAGGGTTTTTCTAGTTTCAGCCCATATCTCATATCCCCCCCCCTCCCCGAATCCCATCTCAGAATGTCTGTGAGCTATTTGGCCTTCTCTGTTTTTTAAGAAACATAAGAGTTTTATTTCCTACCGAATTGACCCAGAGGGAACAATTGCCCACAGAACCTTTTTATTAGACCCCTCATAAACAGTGAGGGCTGTAGGGAAAGTAGTAAAGTTGGGCTTTATTGTTTTAACATAATGTAATAAATGTATAGTTTGGGGGTGAGGGATGTGACCGTGCCCCCCACGGGACTGGCACAGCTCTTTTGTGGGACATAATCCCCCCGGGAATGCCATGGCACAGCCTGGTCCTGACGTGTCAGAAGCTGTTTTCTGATCATTAAATGGGAAAAGAAAATTTAAAAAGGAGATGTTCTAGATTTGAGTCCAACCAGGGGGAAGTGGAGGCAACTGGAATGGAACTGGGGTGCCCATGACTAAGGAGGGAGGAGGATGGCAAAGTGATGGTAGGAAAGGAGAATTCTACAGGGAGAGAGGTGGGAGACAGGTCATAAGGGGGGGCAAAAAAAGGTATTTTTCAAAGATGAACCACTGCTCTAAGGGCCCAACAGCAAACCAGGCTGTTAAGGAGGAAATAATGACCCCCAAAAGAGGGAATGTGATTAAATCAAGAGGTAAATACATTTTCTACTCCCAGGGTATGAAAAGACAAGTGACTCGCACACGGGGGGTGGGTGTGCAGTGGGGGTGGCACAGCCCACCAGCAGGACCAGTAAGCACTGACTGTCCTGAGATGGCAGCAGGGCAGGAGGCTGTTCCTGGCAGAGCAGAGAGGGGAAGAGCTGGACCATCACTCACTGGGGAGGGAAACTCATCAACGGATGATGCTGAGACACATTAACTGCATTTGTGCCTCCAGCCTCGCTAAAAGGGGACCTGCCAAGAGCCAGCTCATTAATGAGCAGCCAAAGGACTTGCACCCAGTCTAGGAAAAAGAGACAACTGGGTCCCCAGATGGCTTTACCCATTTCTTTAGGTACTTTGGGACGACTATTTACACCTGTAATTAGGTGTGTTGAAACCATCTAACTTACCTCCCTCACCTGTTTACAGCTTTCCTTCTTTCCTGGCTGGTATTTGGGTCCATTTTAGGAGTTTCCCACTGCACCCCCTTACTCCCTCCCACCATTTGTCCTGAACTATTTGCTCCTGCCCCTGGGCACTGAACAGTGTCTGTGTTTTCTTCAGGAAAGAGTTATGTGACTGGCTCCAGATAAGGATACAAACACTATGGTGGACAGATAAAGCTTTCTTATCACCAGAATTACAAATAAATAAATAAACAATTACAAATATATAAATAAACGATTATTGCTAAATAATTATTGAATCACATTCAATAAACCACGTCTCTTGACAGCCATATTCCAGCAAAAGACAACTTTAAAACGTGCCACTTGCTACTATGTAGGAACTGTTCCTACCTGTGACCGTATCTTGAGCGCAGGTCCCAGCTTCAGCCCCATGTTGTTCAGTAAATGCTCTTCTGTCAGGAGGGGCAGGGTCTCACCATCAATCGCCTGCTCTCGGAATACCTGGGAGAAACAAGACACAGGTCTGGGTTAGAAATGCCAGTGACATCCCTGCTGTGCTCTCCTGCCATTGCTCAGAGCCAACACGTGAGAGGAGACACATGGGAATGTGAATTAGGACTCATTGAGCCACTTTAAATAAAGCAATACTTTTTTTTTTACTTTTTTTTAATTGTTGGGATGGGGCGTGAAGTGTTTTCTTTGGGGAACATCCCCAGGTTTAGCAACCACAAGAGCTGAGCAAGTGCAGCACCAGGAGTGAGCCCAGCTGAGAGCGTACAGCAGCAGATTTGAGGAAGAAGAGGTCCCTGCCCAGGGGCCCTGTCCCCAGCTCCAGAAAGGGCAGAGGACATAGGAGAAAGGAGAAGAATCTAAATTTTGGCAAATCCTAGGTCACTCACACTTGGGTGGATATTTGGAAAAAGCTGACCCAGTGGACTTCAGTAGGATTTGTGGCCTCCAGTGAGGCACATGCAACTGGAAAGGAGGAACCCACTTGTTCATGGGTTTCCTTCTCAGAGCTGCTCATTTCCCAAACAGTCTCCAGGGCAAACACACTCTGCAGGCTGGAGGGATGCAGGTGCAACACTCCGTTTTGCACTCTTTATTCCGATTTTTCCCTCCTTTGCCTGCCCTATATCACAACCATCCCTAGACCACTGCCGTCTGTCGTGCTGTCTGGCAGAGACTCCCAGTGTGCACTCTTTATTCTGATTTTTCCCTCCTTTGCCTGCCCTATATCACAACCATCCCTAGACCACTGCCGTCTGTCGTGCTGTCTGGCAGAGACTCCCAGTGCACTGACTGGGGCTGGGGAGGATGAGCCCTCCTCACCAGTTTGTTTCAGCACTAGGGCCTTTCTTTTTCCCCAGCCCTTCTAGCAACACGGACTAATAAATACCACAGTGGCCCTGTGCTGAGTGTGGTAGCCAAGTGGTGCCACTGACCATGGCATCATCCCACTGAGTCACCCACGCTGGCCTCACAGCCAGTTTCCATGAACACACTGGTCTCTTACCTCTCTCCCAGTTAGCTGAGTGAAGCAGAACCTGGGGATGTGCATATCTATCTATATATCTATAAGGTGATAACAGGACTAGTATATTCTTATAAAAAAGCAGTTTCATATGAACACATTCTAATACACCCACACATGCAAAACTACACCATTTTAACACATTCCTAAGGACAGAAAAAAAAACCAAAAACCCAACAACTCTGTTTTGCCCCATCTATTTCAAAGAAAAAAAACAAAAAAACACACAAACAACTCTGTTTTGCCCCATCTATTTCAAATGACAGGGTCACGCCAGAGTTTTCCACCTCAGCCACACTGTGCTGGAAAGGTGAAGGTCTGGCTGCTCTTATTGCTCCATCCTTCACCAGGGAGCGGGGCTGTCCTTACCCCGGTCTCCCCAGGGGGTTATTCTGGACACAGGCTCAACGCTTCAGGAAGGAATTGCCATCATTTGGTAATTTAGCAGGTTCCCCTCGGTGCTGGGAGATGTCAGGCAGATGCCTGGGTGGGTTTTTTTTTTCACTAAACCACACCTGGTTCATACTGGACGCGGGGCCTGATCCTGCTGCCGCTGGGGCAGTGTCTGACACACGGCGCTATTACTGCTGGACACTGGGGCCAGGAATTGGGGTTTAATTTACTCTAACGACTTCTTTTCCCTCAGCAGCCCGTAGCTCAGAGCCACCCCTTGGGAGGGTGGCAGTGGCTGTGAGAGCCCAGGCAGCTGAGCTGCCCCAAGTGTTGTTTATTGCTGGCCTCCACCAGCGGAGCCGCTCACGACTGCAGCGGGTGTTTCTGCTCTCTGACCCAGCACAACTTACTCCAGCCATTCCTTTTCCTTCCTCTGAAGCCAACGTGGCTGGGAGCCAACAGCCTCCCTTCTCTCGGCGCTAAAACCCTCCCCAAAAAAAGCCTTAACTTGAGAAAAGCCTCCCCCTCGGGCGTCCCACAAGGTCTGGATCCGCTGCGGGGACAAAGCTGAATATTGTGGAGGGCTGAGATGGGGCAGGGCAGCTTTTGGTTTTGCTGAAGTTTTCTTGTTTGTCTGAACCCTGTTTCTCAAGGCGCATCCTACCCACCAGACCCTGGCAGGGTTTTCCTGGCAGGAGAACCCCTCACCCGGTGCCAGACCTCCCCGGCAGCCGCGGTTTTGGAGACGGGAGCACAGACAGCTCTGCAGCTTGGAGCCACGGAGCTGGGTCACCCCTGAACACTGGCATTTCCACGTAGTAAAAAAAAAAACCAAAAACACAAACCTGTTAAGCGTGGAACCAGAGCACGTAAAAACGTGGTGTCCCTTAAGCCGGGCACCCCCCAGGTAATTCAGAAGCCTAATTCAGGAGCTTCCAGGCCACTCAGACCTTCATTCCCCAGCACAGGAACACAGACTGCAACGCCACCAGTGCAGGAGCAGACTGGTTGGAAAGGGGGTAACTGAGAATGGGAGTATCTGTGTATTTTGGGTTTAGAGCCTTTTGCTTGAGCTCTCTTCAACACACGCTGCAGCCACATACAGGGTCCTGGACCCATCACCCATCCCCACTAAACCCAGCTCCTGAGCTGCTGCTTCTCCCTCCCGTAAACACCCACCCACCCAGCATCTCTTCTCAACCCCTGTCCTTTCACAGAATCACAAGGGGTTGGAAGGGACCTCTGGAGATCATCTAGTCCAACCCCCTGCCAAAGCAGGTCCACCTGGAGCAGGTTGCACAGGAACGTGTCCAGGTGGGTTTTTAATGTCTTCAGAGAAGACTTCCCCCTCCTTCTCTCCATAACCAAAAGTGAGCCTTCTCTCCCCCCACACCCTGTCACCCTCATTCACTCCCAAGCACAACCCAAATCTCCGATATTCCTCTTGGGGAATGTTACACCTGCCCCAGCTCCATAACAACCTTCCTAAATACCATCTCTCCAGTGCACACACAGCTCTTTGCTCCAAAGCAGCCCTGGATTTATAGGTGGTTTTAATCCCATCACAGCATGTTTTGTTAATATCCCGGTTAGGTGGCAAGGAAGGACAGACTTTGGATTGAAAGCACATCATCCCATCCCCTTCCTCCCTTCCAGGACCTGTTCTCAGCCTGGGATGTCTCTCTGCTGAAAGGCCACATTGTCCTGCACTTTGGCCCTCTGCCTCTCTATCTCTGCTCCCCTCTGAGCACGCTGCATCCTCCCTCCATGGCTCTCCCAGCCGGCTGAGAAATCCACGCCTTCGCAGTTGGTGCATTTTCTTCAGACGGCTCAGAGGAATCCACGCCTTCGCAGTTGGTGCATTTTCTCAATGGGGTCATTTAGAATGGACTCCAGCAGATGCGGAAGCCAAAAACACAGGGTTGGTTTTTGTATTGCACCTCACGACCTCACACCGAGCAGGGCCTGATGAAGCCCCCGGTACCGACGGAGGTTTCAACTCTGCTGTAACGAGCCTAAAATCCCAGTCACCGTCGCTCCACGGTGTCAGCACGGAGGGTGCTCTGACACCACAGGGCCATGGGTGCAGCAAGAGGAGGCAGCACCTTCTGCCGGGCTGGTGGGTACCACAAGATGCCCACCCTGACCCAGGAGACTACCTGACAGCCCGAGGGATGCAGCAGAGCTCCTCCACACAAAGCCACTGCTGGGTTCAGCTCTGCGATAGAGCACGGGGCGGCTTCTAAAGGCATGAGGTGGCCAGTGGGAGATTAACTGACACAAAGAGCCACTAACCATCATCAAACCCACAACTCGGATGCTCACTCCTAACCTGACCCCTCCTCCCATCCTCTCCCTTACTGCTGTCCATCTGCAAGGCCCATCACACATCTCAGGATCTTTGCTACACGATGCTATTTTCCAATCCACTAGAAAAAACCACCCAAAAAGCTTTAAGCCCTGAAGGGGTCCCAGATACACCTTCTCCTGGGAGGAATAAGTAAAAATAGGTGTAGACAGGAGGAGAGAACAGGGTTTTGCAGCTATTTACCAATCCACTAGAAAAAAACATCCAAAAATCTTTAAGCCTTGAAGGGGTCCCAGATACACCTTCTCCTGGGAGGAATAAGTAAAAATAGGTGTAGACAGGAGGAGAGAACAGGGTTTTGCAGGGAGGAGGTTCCTCCCGTGATGCTCTTGAAGGTGGGAAGAGATTTACCTGAGTGTACTCGGTGCAGCCGGACAAGTTGGACACGAAGCTGCACACATCCTCCACCGTCCATTTGCTGATGTCTTCCAGCGCAGGGCTTTCCTCACCATCCAGAAAGAGACCTCCCATGGTGCCTGGATTGTTTGGAGATGGAGGGGGGGGTGGGGGTAGGAAGGAGGGGAGGAGAAAGAAACATAAATCATTAAAATCCCACACGGACAACAACTAGCCTGCAATCTGAATATTTTTCTCTAGCCACACATTCATCTTTAATGACCTGTCAATTAAAGCACTGGGCAGGGTCAATTCATAGGCCCCTCTTCCTCCTGGAGGTCCCCAGCTTGGAAAGGGGGGCAGAGGAAAGGAAAAAATCCCAGCTAATGCATTTCATGTGTTTAATGTTCTTCAGCTGCGGGGAAAAAAACG